CCTCAGCTTCAGGATCTGTCCTTCCAGGGAGCCCTCAGGGTTGATTTCCTTTAGATGGATAAGTTTGTTCTCTTTGCAGTCCAGGGGACTCTCAAGAGCCTCCTCCAGCACCACAATTCAAAAGCATCAATTATTTGATGGTCATCTATCTTTATGGTCCAGCTCTCACTTCCATACATCACAACAGGAAAAACCATAGCTTTGTCTATGCGGACCTTTGTTGGCAAGGTGATGTCTCTGCTTTTTCAGATGCTGTTACCTCAGGACAATTATTTTTTTCTCTCTCTCTTCCCTCATTAAAATCTTAAGAGCTGAGACTCAAAGAGTTTGGGGTTGATACAAGCCATCCTCAAAACATTATGCTCTATTTCCCCCCTTCCATTTGAGAAAGGTCTGGGCTCACAGCAGCTGTTGGGTATCCATTGTGAGGGTTCAGCTTTAGGCTCCTCTTTCGGTTCAAAGAAATCAGTATATTTGTGTTGCTTCAAAACAGGGGAAATATGTATTGGTGCATTTAACCATAAACAAGTGTCTGCAACATGATTGTGATTCTTTTCTCCTTCCGCCAACGGGTCCGGAAGGGGTCTCCAAACTTCAAAGAGGAATGGGTTGCCATCACTGCTCTCACACCCACACAAAGGGAAAGTTGGAACTTCTGTACTTTTAATTGTCAAGTGGAATGTTTCCTGCAGGCAGGCACAACTTGTTCGAAGGTACAGTATTTTAATCATCTCAGAAGAGAGATGGAATCGGTTTGAAAGGAACAATGTTGTCTTTATGGAGCGAGGTTCATCTGAACTTCTCTCCTGACAAGGAGGAGAAGTGGAGAAAAATCCATTTCATGTGCTGAAAAAAAACCCACAGTCTGAGATTCAAGGGAGAAGTGGTTTGGAAAATCAGATTTGCCGTGAGAAAGGCCTGTGGCTTCAGTTTCAGCAAAACTTTTCCTGAGGGCTCTCGAAAGGGGGTGCAACATTGTGCACGGAAAGTGCTGGATAAGAAAATGCTAGCAGATCTGCAAATCTATAAATGCGTCAAGAGCGCTATGCACTGTTTCCAGAAATGTTAAAGGTGTGTGTGTGTGTTGGATTACAGGTCCCATCATCCCCCAACCAGCATGCTTTGAAACTTTCCGACCCTCCTGTTATTTCACGGTCTCCGTGGCCATGTCAGCTGGAGATGAACTAAAAGAAAAAGAACTCCCTGAGGCTTTCGATGGGGATACACAGCCTCAAAAGCTCTCCATTTTAAACGCTTCTTTGAATGTATAAAAGGCAAAGCGTTTAAGTAGTTATCACTCATGAAGCTATTGTACTGTAACTTAGTTATGGGTTAAATGTTCTGAAAAAGGAACTAATTGCAGATACATTGATATGCATTATCATTTCCTTCCAAGCTGTAGAAATCCTTTACTCTCTCATATAGAGAGAGTCAAGAATTTCTACAACTTGGAAGGAAATGATAAGGCGTATCCATGTATCTGCAATTAGTTCCTTTTTCAGAATATTTAACCCATAACTAAGTTACAATACAATAGAGAGTCCATGGGGTCACCTTTGCAGGTGAGTTGTTCCCGTTCAAGACAGAGAACGTTCTTGTTATCTCAAACCGCCTGTTCCTTCTCCCCGTCCGCTTTAGGCATAAGCAGGCAATAAATTCAAAGCAATAAGTAACACCCCCCCCAGGCAGGGCTGTTTGGCAACCAGCCTATTTTGTGACACTCCCACTCACAGAGAAGTTGGTGGTTGTCTCTTTTAACAGAGGTTTCCGTTGTCTGCACATCAGCCCTGCCTGTCAGGCGTCACCAAAAAAAAGCCACTGCAGCTGAACGACCACGAAAAGGAGATGCACCACAGCAAGAGTGAATAGCAAGTGCAAGCCAGCACGAGAGTAAACTGACCTTTGGAGCCAACAGCATCATTAGGGTGAGTGCTTGATTTATTACTAATAAATAATAATAATAATGTGCTGTCAAGTCAATTCTGACTTTTGGCAGCCTGTTTCCAGGTTGACCAGGTAGAGAATACTCAGAAGTGGTTTTCCATTCCTTTCTTCTGGGACTGTGCAGATAGCGAAGCCACTGAGTTCTCCAGCCAGCTTGATTCTGTAAACTCTCAAACAGACATGGAAATCCATTTTTAATCAGCCACTGTCTTGATTTCTTAGAGAACAGAACAAGTTCACATATACGATCAGTGCCTCCCATTCAGATTTTGAAAATTCCCTATACCTTGAATGGTGCTTTCTTCTGTCAAGTCAGGACTGATGTATAGTGACTCCGATAGGGATCCCTCTGGGTTTCTATGACTGAGTAGAGATTTGAACCCGAGTCTCAGGAACCCCTAGTCCATTACTTTATCCAGGACCCCGCACCGGATGCTTGGATTCTAAAAATTCAAAGAGTAGTACTGTAATAGGGTCATACGCTATGGCAGATCTCTGGTTTTACAAGAGAAAAAAAGAGTAGAACGAAATCAACTTATTTGTTCTTGCGTTTTTACACAGGCTTAATGCAACACAGGTTTGATTTTACTTATTTATGACATTTATATTCCATTTTCCCTGCCAGGACTTTCTCATTTTATTTGGCTTTCCTCCCTACTTTGTCTTTACAACAGTCCTGTGAGGTGGGCTCAAGCTGAAAGGGAGTGTGTCACCCAGCCACTGTCGTGCCTCAGTGGGGATTTGAGCCTGGATTTCTGAACTTTTTCTGAAAAAAGACGCTTAGGACTGCTAAATTGGCATAATCTACTGTACTATTGTGTAGCACTCCAAAGATTGTTTGACCACAGTCCCCATCAGGCTTTACTCATTCTGGTTGGGGCTGATGGTAGCCGGAATCTAGCACTCCTTTTTACATATGGATTTATTTATTTTTTTAGGATTTTGTAAATGGGCTGTAAAGGAAAAGGCAGAGCTCAAACGGGCTCTGTGATTGTTCCGTGAATTGAAGGGATCATGTTTGAACCAGGAAGTCTGTAAACTCTCTGTGCAATTTTGCTTACTTTTGAGAGCCCCATTAGGGTCGCTGTCAGTCAGTTCCGACTTGACGTTACCGGACACAACACCATAAGAAGTTCAGGTACCAACTTGATGTCTTGCAAAGTGGGAACTTTCCACACTGAGAAGAACTCACTTGGGGGGAAAGCAAAAGAGATACAGTGGTGCCTCGCAAGACGAGTTTAATTCATTCCGTGGTTAATGTTGTCTTGAGAAAAATTCGTCTTGCGAAACGCGTTTTCCCATGGGAATGCATTGAATTCTAATGCATTGAACTCTAATTGACCCGTTCCTATGGGCAAAAAAAAAGTCAGAACAAAGTCAAATTTGGTTTACAAAGGGGTTATTAAGTGCTCTTTAAAGCCATACATATTGTGCAGATGATTTAAAAAATTTCAGTCGAAAAACTAACTTTTTAAACATCATAGAAAAACATTTAAAGATCAGCAAACATGAGGCAAAACATTCGTCTTGCGAAGCATGGCCATAGGAACATTTGTCTTGCGAGTGTTTCCTGTCCTGCGAGGCATTTGTCTTTGCGAGGCACCACTGTAAATGCAGCTAATGAACAAGGGTGCCTTTGAGCCCATTTAAAGCTTCCTTCTTTTGAATACGGGCACTCAGTCAATCATTAGCGTGCGCGCGTGTGTGCAGCCAGAATGTTGACGACTGGGGCGTGTGAAGGAAGAGCACCATAGGAAAGTTTCAACCGTAGTGAAAATCTACTTCCTTTCTGCTACAGGGGCTGGACTTGGACTGGATTAGCATTCAGCAGCAAAAACAGATGCTGAGCTTTCAAGAGGCCTCTAATGAAGAGTATGGAAATTTATTTTTAAGAAGTAATTCGTTACCATTATTATTACAAGGGGTGTGGCCACATGAATAAGAGGACCGGGCTCCTGGATCTATACTATTCACCTAGCAGTGGGGTTTCAGCTTGTTAGCACACCCAACTGATGTCCAATTTCCCACCTTTTAAATGTCCTCTCACTTTGGTAATTATCATTCTTAAAGGGACTGTTTAGTTTTTCAATAGTAATTTATAGTTACTTTTAGTTACTTTTAAAAAAAATCTAAATGCTTGTCATTCAGCAACACAAGGCATATAGGATTCTACCACCTGAGCCGGGAGACACTCCTCTTCCTTTTAGTGTTGTCACTCACTTTTGTTCCTATAAACTAACAAATAGCAGAATTACAAAAGGAATGAAACTACTTCACATTTGAAACGTAATGTAGTAAGGTTACAGTTACAGTCAAAAGGAATAAATTTTTGTGTATCACTGTTTCTAACTGGTGATTTCCATGTTTTAGCTAAGTAAATAAAGTATAATTATATATTGTATATTATTGCACAAGAATACATAACCAAGTATCATTAAAATCATTCTTATCAACTGATGGCCCAAATACGATTGATGTTTGCATACATTTTGTGTCACTTGCTACAATTGCTGCTAATTGAAAAAGTTCCAGGCACATCTTGACTTCCCAATCAAACACGTGACTGAGAGACACCCCAGCGCCTTGTTATAATTAGCTGTAGGAAGTTACACAAATCTTATGTGAACATGAGTGACTGGTAAGTTACTTTTGAAAAATTGGCAAGTCAAGAATTACTTTAAAATTTAAACTGTAACGGCAACTGCTTAGGAGCCTCTGAACTATGACTGTAACTAATAACTTTCAAAAAGCAACTTCTGGACTCCACTGTAGAGGCAGGCAAGGATTACATAATAAAGAAAACATAGATAGCCTCCTTTACTAAAGAGGTTGGCACACCTGACAAATTGTATAGATACATGGAAAGGGTCTAACTGACTGGTATAGTAACTCCCATTCTTCCTATTATATATATTTATACAGTACATTGTAGGGAGGAAGAATGGGAGTTACTTTACCTATCGGATAGACCCTTTCCACATGTACTTCTCTTGTGCTTTTATTCATTGTAAACTACCTTGACATTTTTATAGGGTGGTCTGGAAAGATCACAGATAACTAATACAAAGGCTAAGATCAAGTTGGCGGTCCCAGCTAATTCTAGAATTCTTGTCATTTCCATCGGTGTTGAGTCACCATTCAGAAACTGATGGAATACTCTAGCTGAGATGACCAATGGGATTTAAACTGACGTAATTTCCTTTGACAGTTCAATCCTATTCACATATCCTGTAGAGGGACATATTCTTAGCATGGTGTCCTCCAGCTGTTACCTCTCGGTCCTGATCCAGCCTAGGCCACCTCAAGGAACACTAGGAAGTAAAACAACCAGCAACATGGTCTGTCCTTTTGACTCGTTAGTCTTTTGCATCTGTTGTGAGGCTGATACTATTTTTAGATGCCATCTTTCTGCCTCACATCCCTGCCTTCCTTCCCCATGGCCCATGTGCTGACATAGCCCTTATAAGCCAAAATTGACTAAGCAGAACACTATTGTTGTTGTTATGTGGCATTTCAGTAGGTATAGTTCTTTTGTTTTTTCCCTATTGTCCAGCAGAGGTTTATTTATAGTTAAATATACAAATGTGTGGGAGAAAGGTGCTCAGTTCAGTCAGATCCGCAACCCTCATTTTGCATATTTAAAGCATGTGCGTGCAAGAACGCACAAACATATGACTTGTTTGGAATGGTCACATCAGAGGTTTTCAGGGCCCAAGCCCAAGAAAGTGGGGGCAAGAGAGCCTATTATGTTCCTACATTTTTTAATCGCAGCTACTATGATACATGCAACAAGAAGTCTCATGAGACATGACTCCGGTCCTTCATTCCTTATTCCAAATGGCAGAGTGAGCACAACATTCAGGTTCCAGAAATACAGAATAGAGGGGAGCAGGCAGGAGAGAAAGAAGAATGGTGCACAATGCTCTGATTTTCTCTGTTTTGCAGTCTTTCTAAATGTCTTTGTCTGGCTAATTAAATGATAACTAGAAGAATGGGTGGGCAGGTCCTGTTAAATGAAAGGGAAACAAAGGGGTTTCCAGTCTTCTCTTGAGTGTGGTCTGTTTTGCCTCAGCTTCCTCTGGATGATCATCAAGTTCAATGTTTCTACGCTCTTTTTTTTTTTTTTACAGATATGAAATCATAAGACCCTAGGCCCTGCAGGATAAGTATCTGTGGTTCAATCGGTGCCATGAATAATACCACCCACGCATGCCAATCTATGCCTTACAGCACTACCAAGTACTTCAAGCTTCCAGTGTACACCGTAGTGTTGTTGGTCGGGTTTCCTCTGAGCATCTTAGCACTTTGCGCTTTGGTCCGCCAAATGAAGAGATCCGTTGTCCTCTCAGTTTACATCATCAGCTTGGTCTTGGCCAACCTCTTGCAGATCCTGACCCTCCCTTTCTGGATGTACCACAGTTACCACGACCACCTCTGGGGCCTAGGGAAAGAGCTGTGTGTGGTCGCCATCCTTGCTTTCCGCACGAACTTCTATGCCAAGAATGGTTTCTTGTGCCTCATCGCGATGGAGCGATATATCGGACTGGTTCACCCCCTCAGATTCCACAGGTTGCAGACAGTGGCCGGGGCCGGCAAAGTGAGTGTCGTTGCTTGGCTTCTGGTGATGGTCCTTTGTGCCATCGGCATCGGACTACAGGTGAATCACCCGGGACCGTGGCATGAACATTGTCTAGATGGCTCCGAAAAGAATCATCACTATGCCCAGTTTAAAGTTGGCATCATAGGCCTGGCCTTCTTTTTACCTTTCTTTCTTATGGGGTTCTTCTACTTCCGGGTCCTGTTTGAGCTTCGGAAGGTGGTCTCTCTGGAGAAGAGGACGAAGAGGCAAATCTATGGTTTCATCTCCCTCATCACCGCCACCTTCTTCCTTCTCTTCACCCCTTACCAGGTGACTTTGTCTTACAGGTTCTACAGGGAGGTGATGCTGTCAAAGAGTGACAGTCCCGCTTTGTGCAATTTTTTGAGAAACGTCTTCATCTACCAACAGGCAACGCTGTGTTTAAGTACAGTGGGCAATATTTTAGACCCTCTTCTCTACATTTTGCTCCTTAAAGACGTCCGGGCAGAACTCAAAGAGACACTCAGCTTCAGGGCTCCCCATATAGGAAATTCACACAAGTCGGAAGAGCATCGTGTTTCTCAGTATCGTACCACAGAGCAGATGTAAGCAGAGGTGAGAGACATTTATTTCCTGCTCAGCAGTTCTCAGAATCCTGTAGCCAATGATCACTGCACAAGAATGCAGACATGTTCTTGTGTTCACTGCTATTCACAAAGTGACACTAACCAAGAGAAACATCCCAGAAGCTGACTCGTTTTTTCCTCAGTTAACCGCTTTTTGCCCAAACACAAAGCAATTGTCACAGCTCTTTTTCCACAACTGTGAATGGTAATGAGTGCAAGAGGATATCCTGAGTAGACCATCTAGACTGCTGCCATGGGTGCTGTCAACCTTCAGTCTGCCCTTTGCTATGTAAACCAGAGCATCCCTTTTCCAGCGGGAAACGCTGGCTTGCTATTGCATAGCAATACCAGGCCATTTCCTGGCATTTTGAATTGTGGGTGCCCAATATCTCACATTCATAAACTGGAGATTTTTTTAAAAAAAGAGTTTTTTAATGGGAGTTTAAATATACAGATGCTGCACACCAATTCAATCAGAAATTAACTGAAGAAGAAAAGCTATATCGGACCGAAAGATTGACAAAGATGTTGTGTGCATGTTTTCCAAAATATTTCTTCTCACTTTTTGAATTTTTTTTTAAAAAAGAGAGAGGTTGGAATTAGCAAAGATTTGCCACTGGAAGCCAAGAGCAAAATCATCCATATTAGATGAAAGAAAGACATTGAGGAAAGACAGGGACAAAAAAATCAACTCATTTGAAATGTGGGGTTGGAAGAAAGTGTGACAGATACCCTCAAATAGCCGGGATGCAGTAGAAATACCCAGGATGAAACAGATAATCTCAATAAAGGAAGACAGTTTGTAAGACCTGAGCAGAACTTACTGGAAAATACATTATTGCTAGGAATTGGGGCAGGTAGTAGGAAGAGAGAACAAGCTAACATAAGTTGTTGATGGTTTGCAAGATCTGAGTGGATCTGTTAACGATGTGACATTTTGGAGATCGTTAACTCACATAGTCACCATATGACAGAAGTGACTTTGTGGCACAAAACATTTTTTTAAATTATCAGACAATTGTATAGTGACAAGACACATAGTCACCATCTGACAGAAGTGACTTGATGGCACAAAACATTTTTTTAATTATCATACAATTGTATAGTGACAAGACAGGTGGAATGGTTAAAACTTTGACAAGATGTATAAGTACCAAAGCTCTGAGTAAGACCTTCTCCAGCCACAAAGAAAAAAGAAACCCAAACCCCAGTATTTTCACAGCTTAAACAAATCACAAAATAGACCATCTGACAGAAGTGACTTGATGGCACAAAACATTTTTTTAATTATCATACAATTGTATAGTGACAAGACAGGTGGAATGGTTAAAACTTTGACAAGATGTATAAGTACCAAAGCTCTGAGTAAGACCTTCTCCAGCCACAAAGAAAAAAGAAACCCAAACCCCAGTATTTTCACAGCTTAAACAAATCACAAAATAGTGAAGTTGGAAGGGGCCTATAAGGCTATCAATTCCAACCCCCTGCTTGATGCAGGAATACAAAGCAAAGGATATCTGCCACAGGTGGTTATCTAAGTTTCTCTTGAAATGCCTCCAGTGTTGGAATGAGCATCTGAATATTTGTTCTCTTTTCTTTTTAAAAACCTTTAAACATATTTTTGCAGACACGGAATCCCTTTGTAATGCCTGTTTGGCTAGGAAATAGTTAAAACATTCTCCTCCTGAGAGTCAACTAACTGGGTCCTGAATGACAGGGCCAAGGCAGGACTGTAAAACAGAACTGCCACTGAAAGTGGATTACTAATCTAGTATCTACTCTCTTTGTGTATGTGTTTACAGTCTAGAACAAAATTGCAAAGAATGGTGAGCCCTGGAAGGAGTTTGACATGGTGAAGATCTGGGTTTGGAGCTGGGATGTTCATCAAATTAACCTGGTATTGATCTTTCAAAGAGGGGGAAAATAGGTTGGCATTGGTTGCCTTTCCTCATAATCCAGTTGTCTGTATGTTGTCTCATGGGTTAAATCGATTTAAATTGATTCCCAAGTAGGGTGACCAGATGAAAAAGAGGAAAGGGTTCCTGTACCTTCAATGGGTAGACCTTTCAGTAGGTGTGGCCTGCATTAAGGGATGCATAGCTTGAAATTTCCTCCCCTGAGCAGTTATAGGAACACTGTCTGCTTTCTCATCTGCTCACCTTACTTCCAAGTAAGTGGGTTGTGACCCTGATTAAAAAGGTAGAGGAAGTCACCACTGATCTGGGGCAGAACTGTTTCTAGGCCAGCTGATTGAGAAAACAGCTTATAGGCACAAGGGGAATTTGAGCAAATGGGTCAATTTTTTTTGTAAAACTCAGCTAACCAAGTGAATGGGTCAACCCAAGACAGAAGGAAATGCATCCTTCCAACCATCAAAATATGATTAGCTCCTGCAATGGTTGTCTCTCCCCGCTCTTCTGCTAGTTTTGCATCCTGCATAACGTTACCTACCCTGTTTCCCTGAAATTAAGACCTGACCTGAAAATAAGCCCTAGTATGATTTTTCAGGATGCTCACAATGTAAGCCCTACCCCCAAAATAAGCTCTAGTTAAGTGAAACCCTGCCCTCCACCATTGTGCAGCAACCAGAAGATGACATGACTAAATAAATGTACAGTAGATGGTTGTACATGAAAAAAATAAAACATCCCCTGAAAATAAGCCGTAATGCATCTTTTGGAGCAAAAATTAATATAAGACCTTGTTTTATTTTTGTGGAAACACGGTACCTATAGCACGTAAGACACATGGGGAGTCTTTCCAGTTCCTAGCCTGGGTTATACAGAAAATTTATTGCTAGTCCACATTTTTTCTCTGCCAGACCCGCTGTTATTGCCAGTGATTGTACAGTACATGAAAAAGGCTGATGGGTTTGAGTACTCTCCTTCCTGCTTCGTCCCAAAAGCATGATGGGCCCCAAGTACAGTACATAGGCATTCCCTGGTTCCCAGTCCAGTCCTTTCCTCTCTCTCTCCCCTCCCCCCGCTATTGGCTTTTTGGTGTGCCCAAATTGTAGATGCATAACAATACCCAGGGCAAGCATAGCCACTCAGCTCTGGGACCAGCCAAGAAGAGGGGTGTCCAAGCTTTAAAATGGACTGACCACACGGTTTATTTTTTAAAAAAATCAAGTTTCCTTTTTGCTTCCAGAGTCTCGCCTCCATCACCATGTACTGTAGCTAGAACAAAAGGGCGAATATTTTGTTGTTGCTTCTATGCGCTGTCAAGTGGCCTCTTAACTTTTTGGTGACCCTATGAAATGAGGAATCCCCGTCATGTTCTGTCCTCAAACACAGGTTTTGGAAGCTCAAGCCCGTGACTTCGTTTAGGGAGTCAATCCATCTCACATCTGCTCTCTTTTCCTGCTGCCGTCCACGTTCCCTAGTGTTTTATTGTCTTTTCCAGCAATCTTATTCCTTTCCCCAGAATATTCCATTGCCAATATATTAGCACTATAGAATATTCCCCAGAATATTCTGTGTTACTTGGCTTGCGGTGTAGATGTTTGTATTTTTAGTGGGTGGGGAGTGTTTGGGTAATTTTATGTGAGTGCATGTGTCTGGTCTCTGGGTGTCTGTGAATTTCATTGTATGGGTATACTGTGTATATACTTACAATGACAATCAATCAATCAATCAATCAATCAATCAATAAAAATTTGCACCCCCAGGACTACCATCCCACTTGATCTGGCTGGGATTCATTAACTCTCTGAAATGAATGGGACATAATTGCATGCGTATTTTCCTATTTTCTGACTCTGCACCTCCCCCCCCACCCGCCTGCTCTCATTACGTAACGCGTTGCTTCCAGAAAAGAGGGAAATAGGAGGCAATAAAGTTAATGCAGGAGAGCTAAAGCGAAGGGTCACTTTCAAACAAGCCAATCAAAATGTCGGGTCAAGCGTAGGGCGACCGTGGATTGGCTGGCAGGCTTCTCTCCGCATTTCCTTCCCGCGGCTCCAATTGGGCCGAGGGGGGTTCGACGGACGCGATGGACCGTCCAATGACTACGCCAGGATGCGATTACGTCACTCTCTCCGTCCCATAGGAAATAAAGTCACGCCCCAAGGGGTCCGGTGGTACGTCAAGCTCGCTCTTAAAACCAACACCTCCTTGAGCTCTATTGGTTCCTTGCGTCCTTTAGTGATAGCCTATAAAAATGGAGGTAGGGATGAATGACAGGAGCAAAAGCCATTCACAAGTGACTATATTAAAAAAGGGTGGGGAAGCAGGAGCGATGGGCGGCACAAATCCCTGAAGCTGGTGGAAGTGGCAGGTCGCTTGCCCAATCGATAAGCGGAAAATATTGAGGTCGCATAGAGGGACAGCTTCTCCAGCCTATGGGTTTTCGAGTCACGGTTTCTATCGCGGTAACTCGCGCTTGGTTCCTTCCAAGGATTGGTTTGTCGGCCCTTTGCCCCCCTCATCCTCGGCGTGCCTTGATTGGCTGTGTCCTGGATTGACAGCAAGGCGGAACGAATGAACCGGCCTGGAGGATTAAGCCCCCAGCCCCGAGCGAAGGGGACGTGACGTAAAAGGGAGGGGCGTGGCTCCGCTAGATCCGGGCTGCGCGGCTCAGAGGCAGAGGGCGGCGGGGGCGCCATTTTGTGGAGAGTCCGTAGCGTGGATGAGGCGAGCTCCCTGAGTGAAAGAGCGAAGGCTACCAATAGATAAAAGAAAGGAAAGCGTCGTCGTCGTGCTGGAGCTGAGGTCTCCCGGTGAGTTCGTTGCTTGGAGAATTAACACCTGAGGGAAAGCGAGTTGACGTTTCCCTGCTTTCCCCGCCGCCGGGAGGGGGAGGCTCATAATGGTCTCTCCCTTTCCACCCCCCCGTCGCATTCGTATTTCCCTCCTCGGTCTTCTCGAATGCTCCGGGTTTCCCTGAGAACTCGACCCCCCTTTTTTAGGGCAAATGGTGCAGCCCGGCTCCCTCTGTCTCTGTCTCTTGTGGGAGAGACCATTGTGCGGGAAAGGGGGTGGGAAGGAATGGATAGGTCCTCGGCGTCGGGGAGGGGGGGAAAGGGAGCCTTGAGAACATGTGAGGGCTTCGGATGAGGGAGGAAGTGACATTTTCATTGCCTTCCTGTGGAGAGGTCAGGGCGTTTACACGAGGCCTTGCCGTCTGATCCGGATTAGGGAGCCCAACGTAGGTTGCAATCCTAGGGCCTCTTTATTTTTTTGGGGGGGAGGGGGGACTGGTTAATGAGCAAGCAGGAAGAAGAGAAGAGGATGAGCCCTTTTGAGGACAAAATGCTTTGCAAGGGGCCAAGGTTTGATGCAAAAAAAAACACCACCCCAAAACCAATCAGAAATAATCCCGGCTCTGCATAAATTTTTGCATAATATTCCTCTTTGATGCAGCCGGGAAAGGGGAGGAAAAAAGCCCGCCGCCCTTTAAACCTTACTGCATTCCAGAGCAGAATTATAATTTAAATAAATAAAATACTTTAAATAAATAAATAATGTGGCCGTCACGACCGCCTGTAATGACACCTACTTCCAAGGAGGAGTAGAGAGGGTTGCAATGAGGTGGCCTGTTTTGCAAGCCTTTAAAGATGCTTCTGTGTTCCTCATTGCTTTTTTCCCCCTCCTCCCATTGTCGAAAGATAAGGCAGGAGATAGGCCATTTCATGGTCTCGTGTGACCTGTGATCCCATTGATATCTTGGCCAAAATCTTGTGGGTTAACTCAGTAAATTGTATTAGAGTAGCCCCATTGAAGCAGGAGATATAGTGAGTGAATTCCGTAAGTCCCATTGGTGCAAAGAGGTCTGCTCTGTGACTTAAGGGTCCTAACGTTACATCCAGAGCAAGCTCATTTGAATCATTGAAATTTATGGAGGAGCTCGCTCACCAAATCCCCACTGATTAAAGCAGCCCCATTCTGTTTGTTTGGGTTTTTTGTTTATTTTATTTACAGGCCACCTTTCTCCAGATAAGGGGGCCCAAGGCGGCTCACAATATTAAAAGCATAAAATTGAAAACATAATGTTGTTAAGTCGTGTCCAACTCTTCATGATCCCCATGGACCAGAGCACGCCGGACCCTCCTGTCTTCCACGGCCTCCCGGAGTTGAGTCAGATTCATGTTGGTCACTTCGATGACCCTGTTCAGCCATCTCGTCCTCTGACGTCCCCTTCTCCTCTTGCCTTAACACTTTCTTTAAGCATTAAAAAAAATTAAACTGCGCTAATTAAAATGTGATTAAATAATTAGAAGCAATTAAACATTTAAAACTATATTGTGAAAAGTCTGCCTGATCTCCTGGGGGAGACCATTCCTTAACTGGGAACTGCCATAGAGAAGGCCCTCCCTCGTGTCCCCATTTGTGCTGGCCATGGGTCAGTGAGGAGGGTCTCCTTGGATGATCCGAGAAGGCTCATATGGGGGAGATAGTCTTTCAGTGTGATTTAATACTCTAATCACCAGACTCTTGGCCAATGATATACAAGTCTTCAGTGGTCTCTTCATATTGGGCTGACTTTGCATCCTTAGTAGCATGCAAGCTTCAAATTTAATAGACAACCCTTGATGGGTTTGTTACCTGTTGAATAGAAAAGTTCCGGAATGTGGAATCTGCAGTTCTTCACTTGACAGCTAAACTTGATTCAGTGCCAATGTCGCTGCTCACCTAGCGAAATTAGTGTTTTGTTATTTCATTCTCAAGACTTAAATTCAGATTATATGAGTCCCAGCTTTGGGAGAGGATTTTGTAGTTCAAGAACATCTTTCAAGGTAGTTGATCTGCTACTAGGAAAGTCCACTGAGATCTGTTGTGTGCCCATTCATTTTGTGGCGGAGGGGGATTTAAATCGTGATTTAATTTTTTTAAGGGTGGGCTTATTTATTAATGAATTAATTTAAAAGATTTTTAAAATTTAAATCATGTAAATCAATGTGATTTAAAAAAAACATTTATTTTTATCCACCCTGCTTTCTGGGCATTCTGGTACACCTCTGAGAGTTTTCGGGGGTGGGTTATGATTAGTAATCATGTTACAGTTCTGGGAGTAATTTGCATTACAGTGGTTAGAGGTAAATAACTTTTTCACTGCTGCAGTGCTTGTTTTATTCTCAGGATCACTGAAATAGATCGGCGGGTAGGTGGGTGAGGGCTTCATTCATTCTTAGGCATGAACTCTACCTTGAAAAGGCCAGAGAGAAATGAAAGCCTGCAAAATATAGAATTCTGCCTTTGTAAACAGGGTCAAGAATGACACTTTGACCATTTTAGGGTGTAAACTATGGAACTGGTGTGCCATGGCCCTTGAGGTGACCAGGTCTTGAATGTTGAGTAGCTTGTGGCACCAGTTTGTTAAAGGAACCTATAAAATTAGATGTTACTTAAAATGCCATCAGAGTAGCTGCATGGGTCTGTGGGGATGGGGACAGACACAGGTACCAAGGCACCTTGAAGGTGCTGCACCTTTATAGACTACATTATTTACTGAAGGAAAAGAATACCTTCCTTGCTATTCTCTAAGAGCTGCCCCAGAATTTGCCCCAGCCTGAACATATGAATGTAGGCTTAGGACCCTGTAGTTTGTCTGCCGGGTCACACTTGCTGGAATAATGTCTACCAACAGAGCGGATCAGCTTTTTCATTTATTCAGGCAAAATCCTGTGCAAAGGGATTTCCAGGATCCTTGATAGTGCCCTGTATATCTCCCCATTAATGTTGATAACGTCCCCCTCTTCATCATGTTCATGAATTGTCTAAAGACATTAACAAAACCAAACTGCTTCTGTTTGATTGAGGATGGCATGAAAATGATTCGTGTCCTTCTTCTGTGGGACTATTTGCTGGGCTGGATTCCTTTCAAAGTGGTTTGCCTTCAGCATTTCTCCCTCCCACTGCCAGATTCCTACCCATGCTGACCACTTGAAAGCTCTCCTGTATCCTTCCAGAGACAGTGTATCACTGTGGGGAGCAGGAATGTCCTAGTTAAGACTTTTCTCTCCTGCTTGAGTTGCATAAATAAGCACTGTGTATTAAGAAGCAGTCACCTTCTGGTGGTTAAGCAGTGGGCAGGAAGGTAAATTAATAATAAGCAGAGGCAGAATCCGGGACTGTTCTCTTTGAAAATGTTCTGGACTTGAAAGACAATGTTTTCTTAGTCTGGGACTTGAAAGCCACTCAGAGGTGTAGATTCATCATGAAGAAGGGTGATAAAGGAGAGGACAGGGCTGGAATATTGTGAAACGATGCTTTGTTGCTTCCAGAGCACTGCTTATGAGCCTTGCAGGAATTGCTTTCTCTCTTCCTACTTTTAGGAGAGGTAGCCGTCTTAATCTGTGCTAGTATGCCAGGCAAAAACGAAAGAAAAATAAAGAAGAGAAAAACATTGTGGTGCCTTAGTAGGAGGGCTAAAGACTAATAGCAGTTAGTCTTTAAGGTTTCACAATGTTGTCTTTTTTATTTTGCAGTCTTCTTTTGTTTTTCCCTGTATATCCCTTCCTCCTTGTGCATTAGAGTCTGTGTAGTTTTCCTCTTCACCTTTGTTGCTTCAGGGTGTCTGTGAGATACAGCTCAGCTCCCCCCTCCAGGAACTTGGGGGGTGCCTCTGAAGTGGTTCTCCAGACCCCTTCCTTAGCAACCAGTGACAGAGGGGGGAAAATCAGAGCTCGGAGCAGCATCTTTAGGGCAGAAGCCATGAGATTGGGGCAGCGAAGTTGGGCTGGGGGGGAGCTGGCTTTCTCTACTGTCGGGGAATTGGGGAGAGGGGTGCAGTGTTTCTGGGATACCCTGACTCATCCTGTCCCTTCTCCTTTCACAGGGCAGCAAGGCGAAAAGCCCCAACCCTTCCTTCACTGGAGCTCAGCTTTGTGTTTTGTTTTTAAAAAATATATATATATTCCCTCCCCACCCCACCGCACGCATTTCCCCATCTCTCAGAGCAAGACTTTTATTTAAAATGATGCCTTTGTCGCCCAGCATTGCCTTGCCGCTCAAGCCAAAGCTGGATTGAAAAACAGATGTAATTTTGGAAAAAAAAATCACTTTTTTTCCCCCTGCAGCAGCTGGGTTAGAGGAGAAACATTTTAGCCTCACATGAGCTGGCCTCTCAGGCATTTTTAGAGTGAAATGGTGAACGGGCTTGGATTATTTCCTGCCAGCAGCTCTTCCCTGCCTGGTTCTGCAGTAACCATGGCTGGAATGAGTGTGTCAAAGGGGGAAAAGAGGACAGAAAAATGAAAGAGGAAAAAAAATCATTACTGACTTTGACCTTTTTACACCTCCCGTTTTTCTAATCTGGGCTATTTTTATTTTTGTTTTTTTACAGTGAGATTTTTTTGATCTTCAGCTACAGTAAGTTATTCCATTTTTTTCATTTTTTTCCTGCCTTTCCACTGATTTCCTTTTTATTGTTGTTGCTAGTTACTTATTGATATTATTGCTACTATGATGCTGGTGACTGTGACTTTAATGATGTGTTGCTGATGGTAGTGATTTAAAAAAAATGACTGCTGATTTTTAACCGGATGAAAATGGAGTTTTTCTGAGTGGTCCTAACTGACTTTGGGCTTTTAACCCCTTCGAAGGGGATGCAACAAGGTTTTTAAAACTCATTTTTTTAAAACAAAAAAAAAGTGGATTGATCGCCTTAACTCTTTTTTTTCCTTCCCTCCCTGATTGCCTGGCTACCAAGAACTGAACATGATTATTCTCCAGAACTTGTTTGAACAACTCAGGAAGTTCCTACACTTATTTTTATTTTTTTATTTTTTATTTTTAACATTTTATTTCTATGCAATTTTTCAACTGTTGCTGCAATGTATCTGTGGTGCTGATCACTCCCTAGCAGTGACAGCCTTTCCTTGGTCAGATTCCCCTCCCTTTACTCCCTCTCATGCCCTTCAGTTCCCGTCCTGGTCTTTTCCTTCACATCGTCCTTCCCTCACAAACACCATCATGGATGCCTGGTCTTGGAGTAGCAGAGTTAGCTACCAGCGGAGCCTCGCACGGAGCAGACACAAACCTATTTTGGCTGATGGTAAGGGGCTGAGGTGGTTTTATTCCAGCCTGCAACAGCTTCCATCTTTCTTAAAAGCCTCGGTGAAAAAGTATGTGGTGGTACCTCAAACATGTCGGAGTAGATTTGGGGGTGGATAAACTTTAAATAGGCGTTTATACCTTTTGAGATGGGAGAGAAGAGGTCGCTTGGCAGGAAAAACAGAAGTCAGAAGGTCTGCCATTACAGACGTGGTAAGAAATATCTTTTTCGACTGCAGCTTCCAGAATCTCCAGTCTACACAGCCATTGGCTGGCTGTGGGATTCTGGGAACTGGCAATTACTGACTGGGAGATCCTCGGAGTGGTATTCCGAATGTAGGGCACTTGGCTGTTGATGCTGGACTCTACTGTGGCGCTGGCATGATCTCCACATTCGGGGCTTCTTCGATTAGCACGAACAAAACAGAACGTTAAACCACTCTCATTTCACTGTTGTATGTATATTTCTAATTTGGCAATCACTTCTAATTAGCAGATAATCATAGGACAGCCTCTAAACTGTCAGAGTTTTTCCTAAGTAGAAAATACAGGGTTTAAGGAAGAAAACAGTGCTGGAATAGATTGGGTGCTGACCTTTTTAAAATGCATAATAAATGTTATGAAAGGTATTAGTAATTGGTAAAGATTTCAGGGGACAATGCTGGACCATCAACTCCTCTTCTCAGGTGCTGCTTGAAGGATTGGTGCTCAGTCCTGAGAATTGGGCACTCCTTGTGAATGCAGGACATGCCAAATTATGCACCACTTAATGCCTCACTGTTAGTCCTGAGCAGGGAAAACACGATTCTGTGCAGGAATTCTAACAATCCTGTATAGCTTGGGGTAATTTTCAGGTGAAACATACATAGGAAACATGCTGTCCTGTGCAGGAATTGCCATACTCATATCCAGCTTGACATTTCTTCCTGCATAAAGGGACCAAGAAACATCCAAGTTATTGCAAGATTTTTACATTTATCACAAATAGTCCTGAGCAGAGAAATCTCGCTATGATGGGAAGATAAGAGGTTGATTTCTCAGTTTCTCCCTCAACTGTGAGGCTGTGCAGTATGCCAGATCTTATTTTGAAAATGAAACATGGGCAGGCCGGATGGGAAACTAGGAGTCTTGTTAGGATTCGAAACATGGGCAGGCCGGATTAATGCTTGGATGGGAAACTAGGAGTCTTGTTAGGATTATGAAAGCATTCTGTCTGAATCATGGAAGGCCATCACTGCCAGTCAGAATTCACAGTGCTAAGTTACATGGACCTTTGGCCTGACGCATTGTAAGACAACTTTCTGTGTTTTTAAGACTATTGTTGGCCTAATAGCGGTATTGTTAAGAGTTCTGTGCAAGCTGAGCCCTCTAGAAATTGACAATCATTTCTGCTTCTCTCAGAATGAAGAGACATCTTGGGATGGGTTAGGGAGAGCAATGTTACTGTTTTCACCATAAGAAAACGGCTACATGATTCTTATTATTCAATCAAGAAGTGTACAAATGTCTATTTTCTTGTGGTAAAGACAATTCTTTTTGCCTGTTAAGGAAGTAGGTGACCAAGTTTGAGCATTAAGAGCCTTCACAGAGTGTTAAAGCCTCTGCTAGAATGTGGCACCTCTGGTGCGCACACACATATACACATAGAGAAGTAGTCAACAAATGTATACTCACCTTGCTTCTGAGATGTTTGTTTGGACCCCTAAGTCCAGGGGGAGATGCAGAAAGCTCAAGAAGAGGGTGGGATCTGCCCTACCCCCAAGATTTGCAGGAGGCATGCGCACACATACACATAGAGAAGTAGTCAACAAATTTATACTCACCTTGCTTCTGAGATGTTTGTTTGGACCCCTAAGTCCAGGGGGAGATGCAGAAAGCTCAAGAAGAGGGTGGGATCTGCTCTAGTTTTTAAAAAAGACATTAACAGAATGTTGGTACTTCTATTGCCTTCTTCCTCAGGGTTCAGTGAGTAGGATAGTACTGTCTTCTTCCCCCAAAAAAGTTCTCCATAGGGTTAAAAGGGTCTTGTTCTTTCTGCAGCCCCTACCCCCAAGATTTGCAGGAGACAGTACATGTGCCTCTAGCATTGTCTGCAAGGAAGTAGGTGACCAAGTTTGAGCATTAAGAGCCTTCACAGAGTGTTAAAGCCTCTGCTAGAATGTGGCACCTCTGATGCGCACACATACACATAGAGAAGTAGTCAACAAATTTATACTCACCTTGCTTCTGAGATGTTTGTTTGGACCCCTAAGTCCAGGGGGAGATGCAGAAAGCTCAAGAAGAGGGTGGGATCTGCCCTACCCCCAAGATTTGCAGGAGGCAGTACATGTGCCTCTAGCATTGTCTGCAAAAGCATAACCTGTGGGATGGAAGATACCTCCCTATTCTTCTTTGACCTCTGCCAACAGAAGGGGCGGTTTTCTTCCCTTCAAGGTTAGCCATGTCTTGCTGCTGCCTCCTGCCAGACTGAAAGCAAAGAAACAAATGCTCTTCTCCCCCTTGCCCACCCCCCAGGACAGGACTGAGAATTCCATGAGGGAGCTTTGATTTTTCACCTTTTGATTTAATAATTTACAAAAAGGGCAGCGAAATTTGGCGTGAGCCCCAGAGATGTTCAACTGCTCAATCTTTTGGGAAGAAGGGGGAAGGCCTCATTGTCATGTGAGTTGAGCTTTTTGGTTTGAGCAGCTTGCTTTCTCTTGCCTTAAAAACACAACAGCTAGAGAAACCAACTATCCCTTTGTTTCTCTACATGGAAGAAAGGTAACGGTGGTCTGTCCCCTCCATTCAGTTAATTCTTTCCTTCCAGAAGGTGGCAGCAAGTATCAGAAGTCAGCTTCCAAGAGAGAGTACTTCTTTGGAACATTTCTTATACGCACAGCTTTTGATAAAAATAGGTGCTCACCTGATGCAGGAGGACCGCTCAATGGTAGAAAGGAGACAAGTGGCTTTATCAGCTCCTGCCTCCACAGAAAGAACCCCCCAAGCTGTATTTTGTAGGTCCCTTTGCACTTGATCATTGGAATCGTCTTAGATAGAGGCTGAGGTTGGTGCTCTCTAAGTCCTGAGCCTGCACAACAAACAGTGGGAAAAGCGCAGCTTATGGGGCATCGGCCATTTGTTGCCGGCCAGCTGAACACTTGTGCACAGAAGCCTACCTCTTTTGCAGTTAACCCTTTTTTTCAGGCCCTTGTTACTGTCTGCCCTGCCCCTCCATGTGTAGACAGCTCCTCATACATGTGTTCTGGAAATGTACAAGCATAATCCTTTGCCAGGTCTTGACTGTAGCCTGCATCTGTACTTGTACAGTGTGAGCTTGCCATCTTGGTCTCATTCTTGCAATAGCCCTGAGACATTAGGTTAGATAACGTGACCCTTTTTTTCAGGCCCTTGTTACTGTCTGCCCTGCCCCTCCATGTGTAGACAGCTCCTCATACATGTGTTCTGGAAATGTACAAGCATAATCCTTTGCCAGGTCTTGACTGTAGCCTGCATCTGTACTTGTACAGTGTGAGCTTGCCATCTTGGTCTCATTCTTGCAATAGCCCTGAGACATTAGGTTAGATAACGTGCTTGAACTTCCGGAAATGTACAACCATAATCTTTTGCCAGGTCTTGACTAGCCTGCAGCTCTTCTTGTACAGTGTCAGCTTGCCATCTTGGTCTCATTCTTGCAACAGCCCTGAGACATTAGGTTAGATAACGTGCTTGAACTTCTGACAACTTCGGCATTGGAGTGCAGGTCTCCGATATTCAAACACAATAGACTTGCTTCGTCACTTAGCCGTGGTCCTGATGCTGTGGGTTCCACTGGTCCAAGGGCTGAAGGGAGGTCTTACTGTATTACTAAGGTTGACTATTTGTTTAGGATTCTGGGGAAATAGTGTTCTGTCTGGAACTCCCTCTGGGTGCTTTCTCATACTAGACCTTTCACAAACATGGCTAGGTCTCACTCTTTTTGGGATTCATACATCAAGGAAGTTCTAATACCGATAGTTCATTTTCAATGGTTCCTTCTCACATGTTCCTTCCAATGATTCTGCATTCCAGCCAAGGATAAGTGCAGAAGCATGTGCAAAATGAGATTGTTGGTGTCATGTCGATTCATCTGCATCTGTCTGGTACTTTCCATGCTTTTTTGGGGGGGGGATTATAACTTCCATCATCACCACCCCACCGAACCAGCAGGTAGGACGTTGGGAGATGCATTTCAACACAGCTAGAAGACATCAGGTTGGGGAAGGCACATGTGAATGGTTGAAATGAATGAGACTTGTTCTTTACCTTTGGGAGACTGACTGGAAATGATGTCAGGATCCTGTAGGGTCCTTTGGTCTCTCGTGTGGCTGTAGGGGTGTCCTTCAATGGGGACAGAGGTGGAATGAGACTTGTTCTTTACCTTTGGTGAGACTAATGACTGGAAATGATGCCAGGGTCCTGTAGGGTCCTTTGGTCTCCCGTGTGGCCGTAGGGGTGTCCTTCAATGGGGACAGAGGTTAGAAGGTCTGCTCATGATCTCACTTTCTATAACTGCCAGAATGTATGTTTATTCTAGTGGTGACAACCCACGGAATAGTTTCTTTAAAGTTCCTTTACTCATGGTCATTCAGAGTAAAGCGGTCTCCTTATTTATATATACCACCCTATAGCACTGAAAGCCCTCTCTGGGTGCTTTACAATTTTATTATGAAGGTTACTCATTTCACCCTCCCAGCAAGCTGGATACTCAATTTACCAACTTCAGAAGAATGGAAGGCGGAGTGAACCTTGAGCCTGTTACCTGGGATTGAGCCTGGGTTGGGAGCAGAGTATTGACTGCAGCACTACAATTTAACTACTGTGCCACGAAGGTCCGTTTAAGTACTTCATGTATAGGCATTTTGCAGCAGTGGCCCATAAACCTGAGGTTGCAGAAATCTTTATGGTAGTGGTTTCTTATATATGCAGGATGAGAGCAAAAGTCAGGTAGCTTTTGTCATTCATCAGTGTATGTCTCCATCCAGACTTGTCATTTTCTCCCAAAAGAAGGCTGCCCTGCAGTTGTGCCCTGAATCAGAGCACCCTTCAGTCAAAAGATAGCAGCGGCTTTCCTTATATCTCATATTTGATCATTCAGAGCAATGGATGATAGGTTGGTGGGAAAATAATTTCAATTCTCCCTCTCTTGTTGGTTGTTGGGGCTGTTTGGCTGTGTTCTGGAGGTTATTCTTCCTGACGATTCTCTCTCTTGTTGGTTGTTGGGGTTGTTTGGCTGTGTTCTGGAGGTTATTCTTCCTGACGATTCGCCAGTCTCTGGCCGTGGGATCAGCTTTGAAAAGGACAAAGAGCTGATCCGACAGCTAGTTACTCAACTATCCCACACAGTACACCAGAACACAGACAGAGTTCTAGCTCCTGTCCTCTGAAGATGCGTGGGCACAGAGACTGGCAAAACGTTAGGAAGAATAACCTCCAGAACACGGCCAAACAGCCCGAAAAACCTACAACAACCATCAGATCCCGGCTGTGAAAGCTTTCGAGAATACATTGTTCTCTCTTCATTTTTGCCCATTGGGAACATTCTTTGTCTGGTAAGGGGAAAAAATCGAGAGAGAGAAAAGTTGATAGCTTTTCTGTAGAACTGGTGTGTCTTGGAAGATGGGTCAGAGCTTGGTCCGCATGGAGGCTCACATTAACCTGGGGAAAGATTTCTCGGCTGACAGCACCAGAAAGTGTGTGTGTGCACGCAGGTTTGTGCACTCACGTCTGTTCCTTGCAAGTTGTGAGTGCTGAGGCTCCAACATCCTCTAAATGTTTTCCCTTCTCTGACTCCCCACCCCACCCCCCTGCAAAGCCTGTACCAGGTCTCTGTTCCTGTGGCGTGCCTGAGCCATGGCCAGCAATGTCACCAACAAGACAGACCCCCGCTCCCTGAACTCGCGTGTCTTCATTGGAAACCTCAACACGCTCGTGGTGAAGAAGTCAGATGTGGAGGCCATCTTCTCCAAGTATGGCAAGATCGTCGGTTGCTCCGTGCACAAGGGCTTTGCCTTCGTGCAATATGTGAACGAGCGCAACGCTCGGGCTGCTGTGGCAGGAGAGGATGGCCGGTTGATTGCAGGCCAGGTCCTTGGTGAGTGCTCTGTTTTGTTCCAGCCTTTCTTTTCTTTGGGCTTGGGTGACATTCTGCCTTGCCAGTTTTTTTCCTCCCGGGAAAACCTATCTTGTTTCCCTGTTTTCTCCGTTTTTCCAACTCACCAGCCTCTGCGCAGGCCAAGTTGAAAAGTTGTGTAAAGGAGTGAGGCATGAAACCCTTGAATTGGAGCAAATCTTGATGTCTTGCCAAGGGAAATGGGGACTGCAGGTCTCAAGTGGAGTGAAGGAGGAAGGTGCACATTAGCCTTAAATATTTGGGATGCCAGATATTGATCTCCTGATTCATTGGTAGATCCTGGTCTGCATGTGTGATAATGAGAGAGGCATTGTTCACCGAGAGCAGTCCTTTATGACATTTTTCTGTAGACTCCGTGGAGTTTATATATGTGTGTGTGCGCGAGAGAGAAAGAGCCACTTGGTTGTCTTCACCGCTCTTGAGGGATATGAAGCTGGCAGCATGAATGGGTTGTTTTTGAGGGGGGCAAAGGCCTCCTGGAGTGGGTTTTTGAATCTGGGCCTCACATGTGACAATCCCGGCACTTTCCAGACATCTCACCCTGTTACTCCCTTTGTCTCCCTTATGAACAGTTAGTTATGCCTGATTTCAACTGCTGGCCCATGGGATGAAAGGCCTGTCACCCAGCCTCCCCTCCACGCAGTCCCTCCTCCCAAATCTGCCTGGCAGCCTGAGTGCAGGAAGTTGAATGCTCTGCATTGCACCTTTGATTCAGATGGTAGATGTCTTTGCTCAGGAAAAGGGAAAGACGCGAGACAGGCGTCGATGTTTCTGGCTGGTCTCCCCTCATCCCTTTAACACACGAGCTTGATCTTTGCTTCACTGGGGAGAGTTGGGACAGCTTTGTTTTAAATCCACAGTTGCAAAACCCTAATTTCTCCAACCCCAAAAGATGTTCTGCAAGTACTACAGTGAATTTTTTTATTTCCCATGCACATTTTGCAGATGCACCCATTATTGCTAGTTGGAAAATAATGACTGGTCAGCAGGATGGGTGCATTTTAAGCAGGATGGATAAAAATAAATGAATGTTAAAAATCAGATTGATTTAAATTAGAATTTTAATTATGATGTAAATAAAGATGTTTTTAAATTAGTGAAAATAATTTTTTGAAATTTAATTTTTTAAAAAATTACATTTATTTTTAAATCATGACAATCCATCATGTTACAAGTAATAAATACAAGGCTTAAAATAATACAAGACTTAGGGTTTAAAAATATTAAATTATGATTTAAATTGTGATTTAAATCAGTTTGATTTAAATCAGATCCATTTTCCTAGTCAGCTTCCTGTTAACTGCTTTAAAAAAAATTAAATTATGGTTTAAATCAGTTTGATTTAAATCAGATCCATTTTCCTAGTTAGCTTCCTGTTACTGCTTTGTAGTAGTTATGCATCACCTCTTCAAGGCCCAGTTTGGAGGTGGGGTGGGAAATATCTCCTTTGCTTTAGAAAGTTTTCCTGCTGGGTCATTGAAGCAGACTTCCCTACTCTGATTGAGACTTGTGAATAGCCGTTTATCATTTTGTTTCCATATAGAAGAGCATAACTTAGTTGATGAGGACAAATTCTTGCTGTTCCTTCTGATATTTCCTCCACCAACGGCTTTTAAAGTGCTGTGTCTGAGGGGGCAGCGGGCAAGAGATCCTTTTTTTTTTTAAACAGATCAACCTTCATCCCCTGAGATGGTCAACCACAGAATGCCTCTTTGTAGTATGAGAGTAGATGATAGTAAAACGTTGAGTGCTCTTGTATCCGTGTGGTGAATTGAGGATTGGATCATTCTGGCACGAGGCTAGGACAGACCACTTGTAGTTGGCTTCCAGGATTCCTCACCAGCAAAATCAGTAGTGAGAAATGCTAGTAGTCCCAGGCTAGTTACATGTGGACGGTATCCGGAGCCTGGTCATTAATGGCTCTCCATGAACCTGAGAAGAAAGTTCTGCCCAATATGCCACTGAACCTTTGTCATAAGGCCTCTTTTCAACTTTTCTATACATTATTTGGGTGGAGTAGAAGGGATGAGTTTCAGATTTGCAGGTGAAACAGATCAGAGAGGAATAGCCAACACCAGGGCAGAATGACTTAAGACACAGTTAATCATAAGAGACTGTGCTAAAATCAACAGGTGGAGTAGAGAATTTCAGAAACTGAAATTACAGTTATTGGATGTCTGAAACCTGTAGATGTTTCAGTGTCTGCAATCCTGTTGGACCCAAGTTATGCTGCTTAAGCCTGATGATGTCACCAACAGTGATACTTTTTTTGAATGTAAACATTTCTCACTCCTCACGTTCACCACCAGGGAGCATGCCTGGCCGAAGTTTTCAAGCACTAGCTTGCAAGCTGAGTTATCTGTCAGCAGTCTGTTGTGGTTGCTTAGGCTGCATAACTGAATTGCAGCTTTCACATCATGGGATTAAAACAATCACATCAGTCTGCCAGTGATGCTGTAGCTGCATCTTTGTAAATTAGGGTTTGGTCCAGACGACCTGCAGTATCCCTTCCTGTGCTTTTGAGTCTCAAATTGGGACACTGACCAGTGTGGCTGGAGGTCACACCAGACAAGAGGTGTTTGCCTCAGTAACAAATCTTGTCAACGTTTGGTTCTAACCACTCCTCACCTTGTGGTGTTCCCAATTCCTTCATAATGTATGGTCAGTGACGTGCATTTTGGAAGCAAAGGAATCTACTCATTTTTTCCATGAATAGATACGGGCCGGATACGAAGCTAGCTGTGGCTTGCCCCTGTCTCTTAGAACAGAGAGCCCAAAGGCGTGTTAGCTCTCAGATATATGGAAATCTTGAGGAATGGCATGATGCAGACTTTCAAATGGACATGTCTGTCTTGCAGATATCAACCTGGCTGCTGAGCCGAAGTTGAACCGCGCCAAAGCCGGGGTGAAGAGGTCGGCCACAGAGATGTACGGGTCAGTAGCCGCACCACCTTCTCCGTCCCCTCTAGTCAGGTCGGGACCCTTATGTTTTCATTATTTTAACTTCTGGCTTTTATTTTAATTTATTCATCCGGTTTGTGCCCTGCCGTGAGCGATGCTTCTGTTTGTCTTTCTGTCCAGCTGGATGCAAGGAGAGAGAGAGCTTGAGAGTATCGGTGTGTGTATGTGTTTGTGTGCCACACGCCATGTGCATGCAGCTAGCCGTGTGAACAAGTGATGCTGTGACAGAGGAGCCCTTTTCTGTACTTTTGCTGACAAAATGTGCCATCCGTTGGGCCTGAGGGCCAAGCAGCAGATGGCTTTCAAGAGATGAATTCACATTTTGCCTTTGTTCTTTCACAGTGAATAATTGTGTTTAGCCATTGTTAATGCCAGATTGGGGGGCATGGCCTCCCGATGCTGATTGCTAAAGAGTTGTCTGTGAACTGTTAGCTGTCATCCTGAGCAAGTGAACTTATGTTGTGGACTGCCTGCCAGGGAGACCTGACCGTGGCTTCTGTACTTTGTCTTTCAGGTCGTCTTTTGACCTGGATTACGACTTCCAGCGGGACTACTATGACAGGTAGGTGGGTGACATTTTCCCAGCTGCATTGGTATCTTTGATTCCTTTCAGAGTTAAAGAAAAAGCCACTATACTTCTCCAAAAAGTTAAGTGCCAATGCCTTGCTGACAAAATATTTCCGTGCCACTACGAGATGATGTCGGTTCAGTTTCTGGCATAGGCCTTTAAATGTTAAACTATTTAATTTTCATATAGTAACTAGTCCTGGGCCTTTAAGGCAGTGTCGGGAACCCTTGAAAGGTGGGCATGAGGAGTTGTGCATGCAGGGTGGTAGTGCTTAAATAGCGAAGGGAATTAACACATGATTGGGCAGGATATTCTCTTAGAAGAGTTGCTGCATCAGGAAGAATTTAAGGTGCTCGTGTCATTGGGTGAAAAGTAAGAGAGATCGTGAGGAGGGGATAAAGAGTCTGTGGGATTATAGTACAGCACTCTTTATTGACCTGCAGATGATCCCAGCTCTCCCAGTAGGGCTGGAAAAGATTCCTGCTGCAAATCCTGGGGAGACAGTGAAATGGCCTAGTGGTTTGGCTCACTCCCAATATCTCAATGGCGTTCCTTAAAGTTTTCAGCCCAGTCCTGTTGTCTTTAGCAGATTTTGCTGAGGGGCCTTTTTCAAGGTGTTTCTACCTACAAGACCTGCGCAGCCACCTGTTGCTTTCTCTAGAGTAAATTCAGGGAGTAATTTATTACGTGTAAAAGAAGAGGGGGAAATGGCTATTGAGGTTCTGTGTGAACCAGAAAGTTGATTAACCTGCAGGAGACGGAAAAAAAAATCTTCCAGGTGAATAGAAGGAGAGGGTGGCATACAGAGCAGAAGAAGGCTTAGCCCAAGACACATTTCCTGCCTGAGGCATAGCAGTAAATACCTATGTACTACTTAGAACTGCAGAGCTGGAAGGGACCCTAGGGGTCATCAAGTCCAGCCCTTGGCAAGGAGGCAGAGCAGGGCACAGAACTGAACTCCCAGCCTCTGGCTCTGTAGCCGGATACAGAAGCCACTGAGCTCCCCGCAAACTCACGGAGCCAGCTAGCCAGGTTTTTCAGCTGGGGCAGACGGTCTCAGAAGTCCTTGCCTCCCATCTTTCATAGTAAAAAGGCACCAACTTTAATTCTGTAGTGTTGTTTTTTGCCCAGCCCCAAGTTGCACAGTTGAGCTGGTTAGTTACGTACATTTATAGTTTTCTTTTCTCCAAAGAGCTCGTGGGGAGGGGGGAGGCAAACGCCGTTCTTTTCTTCCCCTTTTATTCTCACAACAACCTTTTGAGGTAGGCTGCAACAGAGAGGATTGGCCCAAGGTCACTGAATCAGATTTGAACCGGAGTCTTTCTAGGCATTTGGCCATGGCACTGGCTCTCCACCTGCACACGCGAGGTGAAGAGCAAGGAGGCCCTTGGTGACAGGTCTTCTTGTGCTCTTAGGATGTACAGCTACCAGGCACGGGTGCCTCCGCCACCTCCCATTGCCAGGGCTGTGGTGCCCTCCAAGCGCCAGCGGGTCTCTGGCAACACCTCTCGCCGGGGCAAGAGCGGATTCAACTCGAAGAGCGGACAGCGGGGCGTGTCGTCCAAGTCAGGAAAGTGTATGTGTCCGACACAGCTTGCGGGCTGAGCTGCTTTTCCTCCCCATTAAAGCGTCTGATCCGTATCTGTGGAAAAACTGAAGGGCCCTTTGGAAAGGGTCCCAAGGCTTTCTCTTGCACCTCCCGGCTCCTCACTCACAGAGCTGGGTTCCTGTTTTGCCATGTATCTCGTGGAGATGTTGCCGTCTCCTTGCGGGAAGGAGGCGGGGAAGACGATTAGACCTGTTCTGTTGATAGAACCAGAAATCAGTGAAGGAAATATATAGATTACATTCTTCTCTTTGAGTAAAGGAATCATTTGCCCAAGACGATTGTTCTTCTATTAGGAGGAGGAAGAGCAAATGGAGAGGGGTACGAACCAGTTTGTCAAGGCGGCAGCACACGTGCTTCTGTTCCCCTCCTCTGGCTCCATCAGCCCCTCTCCAGGCCCAGCGTGCTGGCTTCCTGCCCCTCTTCCACTGATCTTCCAGTCCCAGGAACAGCTCGGGCTTCTCTGGCCTCCCACTCAGAGAAGAGGGCGGGGCAGAGAAGTCTGTGCTCTTGCTCATGACCAGGAGATTAGCCAAGGAGGTATTTTAATTGTATTTTTATTGTTTTATCTTTTTATTGTATTTAAATTGTTATAAGCCACCCAGAGACCTTTTGGTAGTGTGGGCAGATAGAGAGAGAAAGAGAGAGAGCAAGCAAGCAAGCAAGCTGGGCTTGGTGAGTGGCTTGATCGGCTGAGGAGATAAGGGAGGGGAGCTGTAGCATCAGTGCTGCTTCCCTGACAAACTAGGATGAATTGGTTCAAGCTCAGAACGGCAACATTCAACCCATGCCCCCTTCTGTATTCTGTTCCTTTCCCCTTTGTTAAAAAGTATAGGTGGAGGAAGGCAGAGGCCCAACGCTTGAAATGTCCTACTTCAGGGGTGAATCTTTTGCTATTGCCTTGCGTTTGTATTAAATTTTGTCTTGCCATTTTTAATCCAAGGATAATGAACCAGTGCTCCCTAGAAATGTTGGACTACGACTCCCATCCATAATCTAGACCACTGGCTCGTTCTCCCTGGGCCAGGTGGAAGTTGTAGTCCAGAGCACCTGGAATATAACCCATGTTTCCATTAGTACTTCATTTTTTATTTCATTCCATTTTGTTTTATTTAATTTCTACCTTGTATGAAGAAAGGGACCTAAGGCAGTTTCCAAAGGATTTAAATGCACAAAAACGAAGTCGCTGTGTACACAAAAAATGTGCATGATTAAAAAGCAGCTAAATTATTATAAAAGGTGCAAAAGGTATTCAACAAGATTAAATAGGCACAACCACCTCTTAAATCTCTTCCTTTGTAATCATTTCCTTTTTGAAAGCCTGTTTAAAAAGAAAGGTCTTTGCTTCCTAGCAGCCAAAGAAGGGCCATGGAGGGGACCGGCCTGGTCTGGGGGGGGCAGTTCCACAGTTTGGGAATATCCACTGAAGAGGTCTTCTCCTGTGCTCACAACCAGGTGTAGATGTGAGGGTAGTGGGTCCAAAGGAAATACTTCTTCCTAAGATCTTAACATCTGGGAAGACCAGTATAGAGCTAGAGGGTTCTTCAAATAGTCTTACTGTGTTGCTAAGATGTTGATGTTACAATACACATGGTCTTGGTGTTCTAGATCTGAGATACAGTGGGGTCTCTACTTAAGAACGTCTCTACTTAAGAACAATCCAACTTAAGAACAGCTCCATTTGCTAAATTTTGCTTCTACTTGAGAACAGAAATCCAAGATAAGAACAGGAAAAAAAACCTTTCCTGCTCTTTTTTTAACCTTAGGTCATTTTAGGTTAAAAAAATTCTCCCCCTAGTGGTAGAGTATGTATTAACCAGCTTTGCATTAGTTCCTATGGGAACTAATGCTTCAATGTACGAACGCACCTCTACATAACAAAAAAACAGCCAGAACGGATTAATTGGTTTTCAGTCCATTCCTATGGGAAATTTTGCTTCAACTTAAGAACGTTTCAACTTAAGAACACCATTCCAAAACGGATTAAGTTCTTATGTAGAGGTTCCACTGTAGTTTCTATGGACGGAAAAGAGCAGATACGGATTAAATGGTTTTCAATGCATTCCTATGGGAAATGCAGATTCAACATAAGAACTTTTCAACTTGAGAACCACCTTCCAATACGGATTAAGTTCTTAAGTAGAGACCCCACTGTACTTCGATCACGGTACTCTGTCTCGCAGCTCCCATAATCCAAGATCATTGGCTGGAATGGCAGGAGAGTGCTTAGGGTTCCTGGGAGTTGGAAACAGCTTGAAAGGCTAGTTTCTCCACTCCTAATTTAATACATTTCTAAATTTCTTAAATTTCTAATTTAAGTTAGAAATGGTGGGAAGGAGGAGTTGTGGAGATCCCTTTCATTATACCGTTGAGATAACCATATACCATTAGGATTTAGCAATTGTAGCCAGTGTGTTTCATGTGTATAGCAAAACCCAGTATGTATATGGTGCCCCTCAGTGAACCATGGGAAGACTGCCCACAGGGTAGAGGCAGGTGCCTTCCTTGCCTTTAGCAGAGGTGCCATAAAACAAATAAAATAAAACCAAACCCTCAGGCTTCTTCCTGAAGGAATTTCAAAGGAATTATCATTTAGAAAGGAATTTCTGGGGAAAGAAAGTTCAAAGGAATACCAGATAGCTCATTTTATGACCTTTTGTGTGTTTCCTGTATAGCTGTGTACTGTCTTTGGCTCTGTGGACTCTCTTTCCACGCATGGCCGTCCTATCTGTGGCTGCCTTTGCTGGCCTGTGTGAATAAACCGCTCTCCTAAACTTCCAATACAGCTCATTACAAATTCTTAAAAGTTCTCCACGTTGGAGCCCATCCACTGATGTCCTCCCACTCTTGATTTCAGTGAAAGGAGATGATCTACAGACCATCAAGAAGGAACTGACCCAGATTAAGCAGAAAGTGGATTCCCTGCTGGAGAGCCTGGAGAAGATCGAGAAGGAGCAAAGTAAACAGTTGGCGGAGGGGGAAGGGGAGGGTCCTGACCACCTTTGCTGGGATAAACCCTGGAGAATTGGAGGTGAAGCTTTTCTCCGGGTTTCATCCTCCTTCATCTCTGTTTTAAAATGTTTCTTTTATCTGTGGAGGGGGAAAACATGATATCCTGTTGATTGACTGTTTTTAGCATGTAATATTTTTGTGGGGTTTTTTTTTCTTCCCCTTCTTAATTTTTGCCCTGTCAGAAAAGCCACCAGAGGAGAGAATTTGTCCATGAAAGCTCTTCCATGCTACTTTATGGCAGCAGCTGGCCCTGAGTGAGAAAGGCTGCCATGCTTGTAGCAGAAGGAAGCCCATGTACAGTGGTGCCCCGCATAGCGAGGGGGAAGCCCATGTACACTGGTGCCCCGCATAGCGAGGTTAATCCGTTCCGGATTACCCCTCGCTATGCGGAATCGTCGCTAAACGGGTAGGGAAAACGTATTGAAATACCTTGCTTACTTACCCGTTCAGCGAGGATTCCCCTTGCCGGCAGCCATTTTCGCGCCCTCGCTAAGCGAGGGCAGGGCGTGAAAATGGCTGCCTGCAGCCATTTCCGGGCTTCCGGCGGCCATTTTGGAGCTGCCGAACAGCTGTTCGGCGGCTCCAAACTGGCCGCCACAATACCTGATCTTCGCAGTGTGGGTTTTCCCCATTGCGAAGATCGGGTATGTTTCCGTATAGCGATCCCGAAAAAGGGATCGCTATACGGAAACATCGCTATACGGTGCACTCGCTAAGCGAGGCACCACTGTACTCAAAAATGGGTTTTGCTTCAACCCAAGGGCTAGCTCTAACTGAAAGCACAACCCATTGAATTCGTGGAGAGTATCCAAGTGATGGCGTACCAAGTTCTCCTTAATTTCAGTGGGCATACTTTATGTGAAGATTAATGGTTGGATTCAGGGCTCCTGTTTAAAGCTAGACTCTTCTCCAGGAACCTATAATATCTTCTTGGCACCTTGTTGCCAACTCTTGGTGCATACCTGGCCCATCATTGGTGAGGCGCTCAGAACCACTTCCCTTCCTATTTTTATAAATCCATTCTGCCTTGGGGCTTCCCGTTGGCAGCAAGCTGGTTTGGCAAGCCTGATGGAAGGACTCTTGAGCAGCTGAGAGGCCCCAGAGGTCCCAGAGGAGGAGGAGGATGATGATCTAGGCAGTGCTCCAGTCCCCTGGGAACCGTTCTGATCCTCTGCCGGCCCTCTCCTCTTTTCCTCTGCCCAGAACTGAAGAACGACAAATCCGAGGAGGAGCAGAGCACCAGCTCGGCCAAGAAAGAAGAGAGCAGCCTCAAGATGGAGTCCGAAGCGGGGGCCGACGACTCGGCTGAGGAAGGGGACCTCCTGGACGACGACGACAACGAAGACCGGGGAGACGACCAGGTACGAAGCTGGAGGCGGCAGAGAGCCAGGAGTGAGGAGGAGCGCAGCGCCTCTCCCTGTTTCCTAACTCGGCCCCTCTGCCTGTCCCCTTCTCTCTCTCAGCTGGAGTCCATCAAGGGCGACGACAAGGAGCCCGAAGAAGGCGAAGACGACAGAGACAGCGCCAACGGCGAAGATGACTCCTAAGGGGGGGTCGCCCAGCGACATGCACCTCTCCCCCTCCTCCTCCCCCCCACCGGCAAAACACGGCGTTCTTCAGAGATTGAGCCTCTCGCTTTCCCCCCTTGCTGGCTGCCGCCTCCTTTCTCCGTCCTGTGTGTTCATAATGACGTGGTGTCTTCTGTTGCGGCCCTTTTTCTCCCCTCCCTCCCTCCCTCCCTGCCTTCTCCTCCCAGTCCATTCTAGTAGTTCGGTTAAGCCCTCCTGTAATTCTCCTCTTTTAATTTTGATACCTCTTTATTGACTTAACAATTAAAAAAAGGACGTATTGTTTTTAGAAGGCTTGTTCTGTCGTCTCTGGGTGGTGAGGGCCTGGCTTTGAAAAATGCTGTCATAACTGCCCTCATTTTCTTTCTGAAGATTAAACATGCCCGGGTTCTTTCAGTCTGTCCTCACAGGGCTTGATTTCCAGCTCCTTGATAATTCTTTTTGCCCTATTTTGAACATGTTCCTGCTTGTCAGCCTCCATAAAGTGCAGTGTCCAGAAATAGACACAGTCCTCAAGATGAGGCTTAACCAGTGCTGTACAGAGGGGAACTAGTGCTCTATGGGATTTGGAGACTATACTTCTGTGGGTTCTTTCACTCTGTCCTCACAGGGCTTGATTTCCAGCTCCTTGATAATTCTTTTTGCCCTATTTTGAACATGTTCCTGCTTGTCAGCCTCCATAAAGTGCAGTGTCCAGAAATAGACACAGTCCTCAAGATGAGGCTTAACCAGTGCTGTACAGAGGGGAACTAGTGCTCTATGGGATTTGGAGACTATACTTCTGTTCATGCAGCCTTAAATAGCATTGGCCTTGTTTGCAGCCATATCACATCGTTGGTTGATATTCATGGGACCCTGGACATTTGAAGTTGTTTTAAATATTTATTTATTAGTCCCAAAGTGCAACCCACTCCCATCCACTTCACATTTGCCTGAAGGGTGATGGCCTCTCATTTCGGAAAAGATGTCGCTAAAGGAGAAATTGAGCGCATCTACCTTTGTCATTTTCTTTATTCCGAGCTTCTTGTTACTACATCATACGCGGTATATACAACATAACATATCAAAGCCTTGCTTCTATCACAGAAACGTTGCCGGTTGTGGCTCAGGCATGTTTATGGGATAATATACATTTTTATTTAATTTAAACAAGCTTTTCTGGATGAGTGTGGGAGTTCAAGGGTGGTGGAAGTACAAATGCCTGTGGGGCGGGGAACTTTCTACACCATGTGCACACGCGCTACCAGCTGCATGGAGCAGTCAGCAGTCAAATAGAACCAAGAAAGGTTTGATCATCGAAGAGCTATCCTCTTGTTTCAGACACCAGGAAAACAGCACATTAGTGCATGAGAGAAGTTGCCGGTGAAAGGTGCTACTTAGTGAAGGATATAGTTCTTCCCCACCCAAAAGAAGTGCTGTCTAGGTATATGCACAGTCCATGGGCTTTGAGTTGGTTGGTCACATCATTTGTGTGCCAGGTAACACAAGACCCGATCAGAACTATTTGGTCTGATGACATAAAAGTCAGCTATTCTTTCAGGAGGTTGGACCACAAGGCTGATTCAATCCTAAACTGGACACAGTCCTACTTCATGCCCCATCCCTCCTGATTCAGCTTGGTCATGAAGAAAATACTAGGAACTCCTGCTGCTTTCTTCAGTGTGACTGCTTTAGGCCCATTTGCTTCAGCAATGGAGTGTAGGGCCATCTATGGAACGAGGCGCGTTCACTAAACCAGTTTTGACAACAATATGTTACACGGCTTTTCCCATGAGCTCAAGAATGCCCAAATTGTCTTTCTCCTGTCCTAACGAGAACCCTTTGGGGTAGATCAGGCAAAGAAAAGGTGAGCAGCCTTGTGGCTTTGTCCACAAAGTTTCATGGCTCTTCAAGGGGTATGACATTGGAGCCCCCCAGTCTAGTAAGTACACCAACCACAGCATTCCAGTGGATTTATTTATTTATTTTTATTTAATTTTTTTGGTGAATGGTGTTGGAAGTGTTCATGGAAGCAAAGTGGATGTGTTGGAGATGCCTCTGCTCCCATCAGCTCCCCTGTGGCAATTTGGCCTTCCGATAAGAGAAGTGTTTCTTTGGCCCCACAATCAGGCCAATAACACTCGCTTCTGCGCTGTTGATGGTCCAGACTGATGCACCAGGTTGTCACCGAAGTCCTTTTTAAAAAATAGCCCCCATGAGACTTTAAATTTTGGGCACCTCAAGAGAAGGCAAGACTTAATGAAAAGAATAATGCTAGGAAATCCAGAAGGCAGTAGGAAAAGAGGGAGCCCCAACATGAGATGGATTGGCTTGATAAACCACAGCTTTTGAGTTTGCAAGACCTGAGCCGGGCTATGAATGATAGGACCTGTTGGACCTGTCATTGATCGAAAGGGCCGTCTTAGGTCAGCAACTTCTGGATAGCACATTAACCACAAGGACAAAGTGGGAGTGTCTCACAAGCATCGTTTTATCCCTCATGTTACTTGAGAGTATGCTGGCCTTTACCCTATTTCTTGTTAATTGAAACAATCGTATTTCTAGCCAATCAACCGCTTCTACTGGGGAATGGACCTATTTCACTATGGTCAGAGAAGACCCATTGACATTACTGGGACAGGCTATTTCCTTAGAAATATTCAGGAGTGTACTTCTCATCCCCTGCTATGCTGGAGGGGGGAAAATAAATCTTGTAGCTCCTTGAAGGCTAGTAAGTTTTATTAGCAGAAGCTTCCGTGGACTGCAGCCCCTCGCTGGGATGAGAACTGTGGGCCTTTCAGGAGCCACAGAACTCCTTGGTTTTATTCGAAGTGTGACTAAGCGATGCGTCTTAACTCATTCAACCACATCATTTATTTGCCCGTCTTTCGGACACAGCCCATAAATATCGCCAAAAGTCTTCCATTTATATATACATTTTTGGAAGTATGGAGCTCGCCATTAAAAAAAAAAAAAAACAGTCACCACGAGCTGACTTAATATCAGAATGATTCCAACTCGATGCGCATCACAGAAACGAGCCGCGTAGAAATCCCGTATCCTGATAGAAAGGGAGAGGAAAAAGGCTCTAAACAGGGCTTTCCCGCCTACTGTGAAAGGGAGCGCTGATTGGTGCATTTGAATCCTTATGCTCACCACGGATTGGATAACATGATTCGAGGCCTTCGCAGGCGGGAGGCAGAGGGCAGTCGGAAGGTCTCCGTCGCAGTTTTCTCTCTGGTCGGGCTCCTTCCTACTTAAACTGCTTTCGGCGCGTTTTCTTCACTGTTGTTTTGTCGCTTTGTAGAGAGCAGCTCTGAAGATGTCCGGTCGCGGGAAAGGTGGTAAAGGTTTGGGGAAAGGCGGTGCGAAGAGGCATCGCAAAGTGCTTCGCGATAACATCCAGGGCATCACCAAGCCCGCCATTCGTCGCCTGGCTCGCCGCGGGGGAGTGAAGCGTATTTCGGGGCTTATCTACGAGGAGACCCGCGGGGTCCTCAAGGTTTTCCTCGAGAACGTTATTCGGGACGCGGTGACGTACACCGAGCATGCGAAGAGGAAGACGGTGACGGCCATGGATGTGGTCTATGCCCTGAAACGCCAAGGCCGTACCCTTTACGGATTCGGGGGCTAAAGACTTAAACAAAAGTTTCTAACAAAGGTCCTTTTAAGGGCCACCCACCCTTTCTTAAAAGTAGCTGTTCTCCCTCCGTTTCTCCATTAACCGAAATGTATTAAATTGTGCTTTTTAAATACTGTATATAATTTTTCCACTCTAGTATCAGGATGCAGGTGTTGACTTGCGCCAGGTGTTTTGCTGGTGCAAAAATTAGCCTGGGCACATCATATGTGGCAGGTAGAATTTCAATATGATTAGATTCAACTTGGTTACAAATTGAATCTTTGGCACAAGTAAGGATGACATCCTTAAAAAGTGGCTGGGGAGGGAAGCTGGGTTTGCATCTAAGGAAATGGATTGTAATCCATGATATAATAAATGTACTCATCTCAAAGCTGTCACAAAATCCACAGATTCAAGTGGGGCTAATCTAGCTTCCACTTATTACAGCAAGTCACGATTAAAGCAGGCTACTTGGAATGAATGGAAATTAGAGAAGATATAGGTGGAATATATGTGTGTGGAAGAGGATTGTGACTTCAAGACTGAGAAATAAAAACTGAGTGCACTGAGCATAATTTAGCCGCAGCAAGAAAAGCTGCCGAAACCCGGGATCGAACCAGGGACCTTTAGATCTTCAGTCTAACGCTCTCCCAACTGAGCTATTTCGGCTCCTTAAAAAAACGCCCTCTTGCGCAGCTTGGAAAACCTGTCCTTTCCTATCTCTAATACAAGAATTTTTATTATTATTAAGTTGTTTTTTGTTTGTTTGTTTGTTTGTTTTAGGCTTTCCTCGAGTTCCTCTGTCGGTGGCATAAAATTTTATCACATAATTTACATTTACGTTACCCGGCTCTTTTTAGGCAACGCCGGGCCCTTCAGCCAGACACGGCTGGGAAAATGGCGGGCTCGCCCTCTGGAAAAGCCCGGGAAAAGCAAGCGACCTACCGTACCAAGACGCTAGCCAATGAGAAACCGCCGTTCTCAAACGGACCAATAAGAAACGCCGGCTTGGCTGATCAACCAATAAGAGCGCTCCCTTTGAATTGCTTAAGGTTTTTCTGTCCTCTTTGCCAATGGCGGGAGCGTAGAACGCTGGCTATCCAATAGGAATGAAGAACTATGGAAGGCTTCATTTGCATACAAGGCCTATAAATAAACGCGAGACGGCCGCTCACTCATGCAGTGTCTTCTGACTGCTTAGGGGTAGTGCTGTCATTCTGAGCGCTGAAGATGCCCGAGCCAGCCAAGTCGGCGCCGGTGCCCAAGAAGGGCTCTAAGAAGGCCATTACCAAGACGCAGAAGAAGGGCGATAAGAAGCGCAAGAAGAGCCGCAAGGAGAGCTATTCCATCTATGTCTACAAGGTCCTCAAGCAGGTCCACCCGGACACCGGCATCTCCTCCAAGGCCATGAGCATCATGAACTCCTTTGTCAACGACATCTTCGAGCGCATCGCCGCCGAGGCCTCCCGCCTCGCCCATTACAACAAGCGCTCCACCATCACCTCCCGGGAGATCCAGACCGCCGTCAGGCTCCTCCTGCCCGGAGAGCTGGCCAAGCACGCCGTCTCCGAGGGCACCAAGGCCGTCACCAAGTACACCAGCTCCAAGTAGATGGTTGTTGACTTGCCTTCACTTCTTGCAGTTTAGGATCAGCAAAAAAACAAAGGCTCTTTTAAGAGCCACCCACTTTTCTCAGCAAAAGAGCCATGGATCACTGTGAGCTCTGAATAAATCTCAAAAAGTTCTGATCTCAATGCAGCAGCAATGAAATGAAAAATATACATTGAGTTTAAAACATTTAGATTACTTTCAGCAAGGGCAATGTTCACTGCTGCTATCCTTTTTAATTTACGAGACCTATACAGTAATATGAACTGCATCTTAGAAGCTCTTTTGTAAGCAACCAAATGAAAAGCTGTGGGTTCGTTTGGTCAGTCAATCCATCTCAGGGTTAATCTTCCTCTTTCCCTACTGCATACCAGTTTTCCCTCAATCATCAGTCTCAAATGGTAGAGCCTCCATGTAGCCATTCTTCTAGAGGGAATTTAGTTCTGGCGTTAGGTTACAGTGGCTTTTGTCTTCACTGAAACCATGTATTGTGTTGATCAAAATTTTAAGTATTTGTATCGGATAGAATGGAGGAATATATGCCTTGCTAGGACTGAGGTCGTTACTTTGTTGTCTCCCAAAAAGCTCATGGTATATAATAAATTTGCTAGTGACACAAGAGTCTTCTGTAACAGGAAAATAATCCTTTTAAATGAAGTTTCCTGGAATAAAATTCTAAAGAATCTTGAATGTGCAAAATAGTTGGCCCAATAAAGTAAAAGGCAGTGCTCTGATACAGGCTTTAATAACCACAGAAAGCTGGGCTTTAAAAATAATGAAACTGATTGGGTTTTGTGTACAAAAAGAAAAAAATTCTAGTTTCACCATGACTACACACAGCTCACCTAGTAAGGCATTTTTGCAGGCTGAATATTAAAATATTGGTTCAGTGTTTTAGCTACAGAACCTGTGAAATAGAATGTAGGAAGAGAAGCAGCCGAGTAAAAACCTCACCCAAGCAAGTCTGCTATGCAACCTTCAAGATATCTCATAAGGAGTATAGGGCTGAAAAAAAAGAACGTTTGTTTTGAATAAAAACAAAACAAAACAGCAGTTTCATGAATTTGTGTCCAAGCTTTAATTGCAACTTGCAGTTTGCTTGAAAGAAATAAGTAAAAGAAATATGATTCATGTTACTAATGCACTGTGTTAAAAACAAAAGCCAAAATGTAGGCCACTCACCTTCAGCTGGCAGAAAGTCCTCTAATTTTTCTAACTGCTTGCTGACTCTTCACCTAAAGAACATTTTTTCAGGAGGGGTCTTTGGAGATCCTGTTGTGAAGCTAATCCACAAACACACACAAATGCACACACTCTCCTCTGCCTTAAGTACCTCGGAAGAAACTACAGTATATAGCTGTTCAAAAATACTACAGTTTGCATTATATGAAAACTACCATCATTTGTCAAAACTGTTCACTCGAAGTTTGAGATTTTATTTCATTTGTTTAAAATATTTTTAACCCGCCTTCCTCCTTAAAAAGGACCCAAAGCGGCTTACAACAATTGAAAGTATTTAAGTTAGTAGAAATGAATCGTCATTTAGTCGTGTCTGACTCTTCGTGACCCCCATCTTCCACTGCCTCCCGGAGTTGCGTCAATTTCATGTTGGTTGCTTCAATGAAAATATACAATACTAAATAGTAATATATACTATATTACTATAATAATAATTATTATTATTTATTGTATTTATACCCCACCTATCTAGTCATTTCGACCACTCTAGGCTATATTATATTATACTATATTATAAAATGTCATATATTAGAAAATATATTGTATAAAATATATTATAAAATGTCATATATTGTATATATATATATGACATATGTATGCTCTGTGCGTGTGTGTGTGTGTACGAGCACACACACAGAGAGCATACATATGTCTTATACACACACAAACATACACACAATATATATAAGACATTTTATAATATGAGGTCAGTATTACCGCCTATAACCTTTGTGTTAGACCCCATTGCAAGGTATTTTAGTTGTCAAAGAGTGAATCTCTTCAGTCCTTAGAAGTAGCAACAACTTTTGGACTAGAAACTAGAAATGCAATAATTGCCCCGTTAAAATACCAAAATTAAAATATTAAGTGGTGTAGGAATTATTAATTATTTCCTATAAAGTGGCACTCAACTTATTGCATTATGACGTGTGACATGACCTAACGTATAGTAAGAGAGAAAGCAAAGTGGGTTGAAAATATTTATATTTCCCGCGCAACAGAATGATTAGTTACATTGATTTACTAACTCCACCCCTGTATTAGCTTTTAGGCATTCAAAGGTAGCTGATTCTAATCGCTTTCCGGCGTCTTCCTCGTTAGTATAGTGGTAAGTATCCCCGCCTGTCACGCGGGAGACCGGGGTTCGATTCCCCGACGGGGAGAAGCGTGAATTTTTGGTTTTGGCTCTGTAGCCAAAATGCCTCCAGCATTGATTTTATATGACATATCAGGCTCTGTACTTGCATAAAAACACACCCGCCCTTCCGAGGAAGCTATAGATTTCTGTGATAACGAGAGTCTTGCGTTGTGCAAAAAGACGTGATCTGCAAGGAGCCGGGATGCCCTGAGGATGGACAAAAAGATGATGCACAATTCATTTATACGGCTAAGTGGCATAAGCTGCGATGGCCACCAGGTTAGATGACTTTAAAAAACAATTACTGTAGATAAATGTGTCGAAAATAGTTCAGTATGGCCAAAGGGAGCCTCTGCTTTCAGGCGCAGTGTACCACTGAGTACCAGACCGTGAGAGATCAATGTCCTGAGAAGCATTTGTTTGGTCGCTGGCAGCAGCAAGGACAGAATTAGGTCTTTGGGTTCGGTGAGAAGTTGACTTTCATGTAACACCATTGGTACCATCTTGAAATATACGTTCTAAAAGAGAAAGTGCTTTTTCCATGTGGTCTCTGTGGCGCAATCGGTTAGCGCGTTCGGCTGTTAACCGAAAGGTTGGTGGTTCGAGCCCACCCAGGGACGATTTTTGCCACGAAGCAAAAACACCAAACAAACCCCCTCCTCCTTGCGGATCCTCGAAACTTAAGAAGTATACGGTATTCGGACACACTTTCTCTTGTCCTGCAACCTCCAGGAGATAAAAGCGACCTTGCTAAATTGCAGGGGGTATGGTATGCGTCCAAATATAGGCACAGGAAACAGAGACAGTAACAGTGACCTCATTTGCAACACAAAATGTTGGCTGCTGCAAACGTCTGAATCTATTTTCCTGAAAGTGAACGTTTTCTTGAATCTAATGCGAGTTACGTCTCAGTAGACTTGCACAACACCTGTGCTGCCCCCCCCCAAAAAATCCAAGTTTTGCTTTGTAGGCCCTTATAAATTTCTTGTGTGGAAGGGAAAAGATAAAGGCAAAAACAGTCCCTGCTTGTTCCTTTCCAAATATCTACTTTTTGATTTATCGATTTCTAAGAACAAAACTCAAGTCCGCCCAACGTGGGGCTCGAACCCACGACCCTGAGATTAAGAGTCTCATGCTCTACCGACTGAGCTAGCCGGGCTACTGCATGATGCATTTTCAGTCTTGCTTAGTGTAGTCTCTCCGCGGGCAAGCTGGCTAGTAGCTATAATTAGTTGCAAATAGGATTGTGTTCTTAAAGGATTATTCAGGACCTAACAGGAAAGCGTGACACCCCCCTTCGGTTTTACAAAGAGGCCCAAGTCTAAATGTTTTTCTTATTGTTGTTGTTGTTTGTTTTGCGGTTTTAACAGCGAGGTCAGAAGCTTTTGCGGAGTATGATCGGAAAGCGAAAACGCTACCCGACCAGAAGGAAAACTGACACACCCGGCGCCCTTCCAACCCTAACTACAATACGAGCGACTTGGAACCAATGGCAGGAGGTTTCGCGCCTTTAAACCAGCCAGTCTTTAATCAATAGACTTCCAACCTCAGCCACTACAGTATTTCACCTAGGACGACCTTCCGCCATTTCAGAGTCCGGGTTTTTAAGATTGCTATAATGAATGCCTATTCTTTTTTAAAAATAAAATAAAATGAATTGACTCAAAAACAGAGGGAAGCCACGGCCAGAGGGGGGAAAAAGCCATAATCGGCAGGGTTGCTCATGACACATGGTGGAAAGTCAGCACTTCATAGCGCCATCATTTATATGGAAGTGATTTGGTCCCTAAAACTCCTTTATAGCATTTTTAAGACATTAAGTCAATAGGTTTGGTTACTCTGCAAGCAGAGGTCCCACTAAGCACAAGGCGTTTGAGGCCGATGAATAAAAGTAAGGAAATAGAAGAACGGATTGGGACGTTATCAGCTAGGGCCTGAAAGGAAGAGATTGTGTAACGTTCAAATCTGTAAATGTTTCATTGCTCTTGATATAAATATATAAACTAGGCTTTATAATATACAAAAAACACCCCAAAACCCAATTGAAAGTAAAAATTCAAAGCAGCTCTTTCAGTGAGAAAGTGGGTGGCTCTTAAAAGAGCCTTTGTTTTTTTTGCTGATCCTAAACTGCAAGAAATGAAGGCAAGTCAACAACCATCTACTTGGAGCTGGTGTACTTGGTGACGGCCTTGGTGCCCTCGGAGACGGCGTGCTTGGCCAGCTCTCCGGGCAGGAGGAGCCTGACGGCGGTCTGGATCTCCCGGGAGGTGATGGTGGAGCGCTTGTTGTAATGGGCGAGGCGGGAGGCCTCGGCGGCGATGCGCTCGAAGATGTCGTTGACGAAGGAGTTCATGATGCTCATGGCCTTGGAGGAGATGCCGGTGTCCGGGTGGACCTGCTTGAGGACCTTGTAGACGTAGATGGAGTAGCTCTCCTTGCGGCTCTTCTTGCGCTTCTTGTCGCCCTTCTTCTGCGTCTTAGTGATGGCCTTCTTGGAGCCCTTCTTGGGCGCAGGAGCGGACTTGGCTGGCTCAGGCATTCTAGCTAGAAGCTCTCTACCGAATCAGAGGGAAACAGCGAGTGGCTGCGCACTCGGCAGGCTCCCTTATTTATAGGCGGCTTATGGAAATAAAGGTTCCTGGAGCGCACTTCTTGATTGGCCACCGGTGTATCTACGTCACAACTCAGAACCCGAAGTATGCAAATCACTAGGATTCAAACTTCGAAATGCGATTGGTCAGGACCCTCAGGAGAAATCCTACGGGGGAGCCCTGTCTGTAATGGCTAGAGGAGGTCACGTGGACAGAAAATCCCAAGTTAACCCCTAAGTTACCGAAGGGCAATAGAATACTTTCCTTTTAAAATGACCCACAGAAATGGAGCAGCGGTCGTAAAACTATGTTTTGGGGCTGTAACCCCTCGAATCCCCAATTTCGTTGGCTGGGGATCTTGGGGCTTGTAGTTCCCCCTAAGTAACGTTTCTTACCCGGGCAGCATGAGTTAGCCCACTCAAAGGATCTACAGTTCTCCAGTTAGGGGAAAGTCTGAAGCAGCGAAGGGGAAAAAATAAATAGGGATTTATTTATTTTTTCACTTAATTTGTTCCTAGCCTTCATGGAAAAGGAACAGCAGGACCGATTAATGACGCGAAGCGACGAATCCTCTTTCCTTAGCGTGGAAGATTCGCATCCACATTCACTTGGAAGTGAAGCGCCTGAAAGCGGACTTCTCGGAGCAAACCACGTGCTGGAAGCCTCCTTTGAAGCAGGATCGCGCCCTAAACGCTCTTGCAAGTGCCTAGGGCGCGATCCAAACCCTTTGCACAGCTGCGATCCTGACACCTGACTAGGGTGCAGAAGAAGAAATGGGATTTCTTGCATAGGATTTCCCCCACCCCACCCAACATCCGGGTAGTTTAAGCTTTTTCTTCCGGGTTTGTAGAGTTGCACACCATTTCTTCTCTTCCTCCCCCCCCCTCCGCCCAATTTTTTTTTATTTATTGATTTTGGTAATGCAATACACAAGATTCCAATGCTGGCAGATGGGCAGGGCGGTCCTGCTTGAGACGCGTGCGTTCTTTCCAGGTATATTTCGGTTTGGTCGTCTGGATGCGGGCTTGCGTGTCTTTTACGGCTCCCTTTTTTTTTGCAGGAACTGCGTGTCGCTGCTCCGCCTCTGCCTCGCGAGCCGCCCCCAGGGAGCCGGTGGGNCTTTTACCCCCCCCCCCCTTGATCCTTTTGCCTTTTCTCCTCCGGCTGCTTGACTTCCATCTTGCCTGGGTGAGTGTCTCTGAAGGAGAAGGTCGAGAATGGCTCGGAGCCCCCCCACCCCCGGACGTGTCCCTTAATAGATTTTCATGCCACCCAAACATTGGGGAGATACATTGTTCTGATTCAGCATCATCCTTTTATTTTTGCATGCTCTCCGTCACTAGCAGCACTTGTGTGTGTGTGTGTTTATGTATATATGTGTATGTATATATATATATTGTGTGTGTGCATTTGGGATCCCTCAAGTATTTTATGGTGGTGCCTGTCTTTCAGATTTCCTCCTGAGTCCATCTTTCTGATGAATGTTAAGTCCCGAGTTTAGTAACAGCCTGTAAGTTTCCACCTTCACAAATCCCAAAGAAATGTTTGAATCGAGAGGAAAATGTCACAGTTAAACATGTTAATTAAAAAACACCAAGGAAAAAAAAAGAAACATTTTGCATTTAATATTTAAGGATATGTATTAAATTGTTTTAATTAAAAATATAAACAATGTCAAGACTGAATTTTAAAAAAGCAGGCTCAGAACTGGGTGGTCTCCCAGTGGCTGAAGCAATAGCCGAGACACGTATCCCATTATGTTCGGGACTACAGTATAATAGTGTGGATTTCAGCTGAAGTTGCTTTTATTGTTGTTGAATTATTTGAGAGGAGAATGTTTGAAACCTGGTAGCCAAATCAATTGCTGCTCAATATTTAGCTTTCCAGATTCCTTTTTTGGGGGGGGAGTGGGAGAGGGAAGACTGTTATTCCCAGAATCCCTCACTATTGTTTATGCTTCCTAGGCCTTCTGGGAACTGAAGTTGATAACATCTGGAGGTACTCAAGGCTGAGAATTTTAGAGCCAGAGAATACAGTTGATAATGATAGGCAAGGCTCAGCTGCATGAGTGAGAAACCTTTAGAAAAGGGGTGGGTAAACATGTAGGAACTTAAGCTGCATATAGCCCAGCAGGGAAGGGCTGTTCTCATGCACTATTCAGGCCAGTTTCCAAATAATCAGGGCAGTCCTTGACAACAGCAGTCCATTTCCTGCCATCCTGCTAGGTGAGATAGAAGAAGGTTTATATTTGGGACTGTGGCCCTTTCTGCTTTTGGTTTCAGGCCCCCACTTCCTATCCTGCCTCGGATACATTAATAACAACAACAATAATAAATATGTTCTTAATTCTGACTTACGACCACCCTTTTTCAGGGTTTTCCAGGAGTGGTTAACCATTCCCTGCTTCTGGGGTCATCCTGGATTTTGTGCACACGCTGGGTCGTGCCTCAGATACATTAACAACAACAACAATAATAATAAATATGCTCTTAATTTTGACTTACAACCACACTTTTTCAGGGTTTTCCAGGAGTGGTTAACCATTCCCTGCTTCTGGGGTCATCCTGGATTTTGTGCAGCTTGCCCAAGGCTGCACATGGTGGCTGTATTCTCAGGAGGCCAAGTAGGGAATCAAACTCCCAACCTCTGGCTCTGCAACCATCTATCACATCACCCCCCTGGGTAAATGCAGGTCTTGAGCAAAACAGCTGCCACCTGGCCCTGCATTAGAGCAGCGGTCCTCAACCTTGGGCTGCCAGATGTTCTTGGACTTCAACTCCCAGAAGCCTTCATCCCCACCTCTGCTGGCCAGGACTTCTGGGAGCTGAAGTTCCAGACCCTCTGGAGGCCCAAGGTTGGGGACCACTGCCCTAGATGTATGTGAATGAGGCGTCAACTCTAGATAATTCTGATGATCTCAGGTATCTGCCCCTGCATTAGAGGGAGCAGCAACTGCCAGATTTGGAAGGAAGCAGCATGGGAACGAACGAAGGGGTGATATTAATTATTAGCATTATTTTTAATGACATTTACGCCGAGCAGCAACTGCCAAATTTGGAAGGAAGCAGCATGGGAAGGAACAAAGGGGTGATATTAATCATTAGCATTATTTTTAATGACATTTACGCCCCATCTTCTCTCCAGTAGCCTGAAGGCAATGTGTACACATCTCTTTTGCTCCTACTTTTATCCGCCCTACAGCCATGTGAGGTAGGTCAGGCTGAAAGAATAGGATTGGTCCAAGATCCTCCAATGCATGTCATGGGTGAGTGGAATTTGAAACCGTCTCTTCAGGGGTAGATCACACAGGCGAGGGGGGGAGAGAGAGAAAGGGGCTCAACCAGAGGCCACCAAGTTAGCTTCATGGAATCACAGGGACTAGAATCAGGATTTAACCTGTCCTAGCCCAGCACTAACCACTGTGCCCCACTGGTTTCTAGAAGTATTTCTAAGGGAACCCACACAGAGTTGCAGAAAATGAGACGAAAATTTGTTTCCCTCCCCTTGTAGGGACCTTTCGTCATGATGCCACGGCGGGGGCGAGCGAGACGGGCCCAGCCAGCAGCTTTCAACCCCCGGAGAAGTGTCGCCCTTCACCGCCAAGAACCTCATTTTCAGAGGTTGGATGATGACATAGCTGAGCCAACGGCGGCTTCGCTGTCCGCTTCCTCAGAGCCCGTAGTTGGACGATGACGTGGCTGAGCAGCCCTTGCTGACGGTGGCTTCGCTGTCCGCTTCCTCAGAGCCCGTGATGAAAGAGGAGGAGCCCTGCCTGTCAACGGCTCATGATCTCTTTTCCTACCTGAAGGACAAGGAGGAAGAGGAGGAGGAGGAAGACCCAGCAGAGCTGAGAGCTTACTCCCCAGTTCCTACAACATCTGGCCAGGCGGCTGTGAAACAGACCAGCCATTCCGAGGTCCGTGAGATGCTGCCCTACTTCAAGGAAGAGGAGGAAGAAGAAGACGAGGGAGTTGCCGAGATCATCTCTTTCTCCCCTCCGAGGGCTCTTCCGCCCCCAGCCGCCCGTCGTGCTCCTCCTGCCTATGCAGCCTCTGGCACCATGGGCAGAACGGTTCACTCGGGAGGCGTGGAGATGATGCATTTCTTTGCACCCCTGACCCACTTCCCGGTTTCTTCTTCCCACTCCAAGAGGGGACGTGATCGGGAAGCACTCCCAGATGCGGTCCCCCCACCGGTCCCCAAAAAGACCACCTCTGCGGTCTGGGACTATTTCACTCTGGACCCCCGGGAGCCCTGCGTGGCCGTCTGCAGCATGTGTCAGAAGCGGGTGAGGAGAGGGAAGGACGGCGGCACCCGCCCGGGCACCACGGCCCTTCACAAGCACTTGAAAGTCCACCACGGTCTCCACCTGCCAGGTGTCGCAGTGGTCCCTCCTTCGCCTTTGATGCCCACGAAGGAGAGACCACACGGTACGGCTGGGACGGTCCCGGAGCCGTCCGCCCCGGCTTTTCAGCTGAACCGCCAGGACCGGAACCAGCCTTACTACCCTCCCACCCATCCGATGGCTCTCCAGTTGGCTTCCGATACGGCGTGGATGCTGGCCGTGGACATGCAGCCCCTCTCGTACGTGGACAACGAAGGGTTCCGGCGGCTGATGGCCACGGCCCAGCCCCGCTGGAAGGTCCCGAGCCGCACCTTCTTTGCCACCAAGGCGGTGCCCGAGTTGTCCAAGCTGGTGTCCAGAGCCGTGCGCCAAGTGGTGGCCTGCAGCTTGGGCCGCGTCGTCCACATCGCCATTGACACCTGGGCCGGCCGGAGGGCCGCCACTTACCTGTCCGTGACAGGGCACTGGGTCGCCGAATTCTCAGGGGCCCTCTGTCGCAAGCACGCCACCCTCTCGGTGTGTGCCTTCGAGGGAGCCTGCACTCCGGAGGACATCTCCCACAAGCTGAGGGAAGTCCTGCAAGACTGGCTGTACGATCTGAAGACCGGAGGGGTGGTCTCGCACGGCGGTGGCCACGCCGCTCAGGCTGTGCGGGAGCTGCGCCTCAAGCACGCCCCTTGCCTGGCCCACGGGCTGAAGCGGGTGGCCAAGGCCTTCCTCGCCACCGACACTCACGTCCGCCGCCTCCTGAAAACCGCCCGCCGGATCTGCAGCCGTTACAACCGTTCGGTGGCCGTCCGCCGTCGCCTTCTGGAAGTGCAGGCCAGCCTGGGCCTCCATCCGTCCGCCAGGCCAGAGGCCCGCACGCGGTCGAACTCCACGTTAAATATGCTGGAGCGGCTCCACCGGCAGCGTCAAGCCGTGGGCGTGATGCTGGACGACGACGAGGTCGGCACCCAGATGCGCTTAACGCCGGCAGACTGGAAAGTGGTGAAGTGCCTGACGGAGATCCTCAAGCCCTTCGAAGATGCCACCATGCTGGTGACCCGGCCGGATGCCACTCTCTGCCAAGCTCTTCCCATCCTGTGGTTTTTAGAAGAACAGATTAGGGCCCTGCGGACGAGGTATTACCAGGAGAACAATAACACAGCGGCTCACCTGACAACGCAGGCCCTGGATGGCCTTGAGGCTGACGCCCAGCTGAGGGAGATGAAGAACAGCATGATGTATCGGGTTGCGGCTTTTCTGGATCCCCGCTTCAGAGACATCACCACCATGAAGCTGGGAGGGGCGGACATGAGCGACACGGCCATGCTGAAGGAGCACCTCCTGGACTTAGCCAGGAGATCCTACATTCCTCCCGGACCGGAGGGCGAGTTTTCACAGGCCAGCCCCTCGGCTCCGCAACCGCCCAGCGGTTCCACCAACCCCACCGGCTCGGCGGCGTGGCAGTTCACCATGAAACGCTGGAGGGCCATTACCAAAAGCGATCCCGCCACCGTTCTGGCGACCGAAGGGGGAGCCGCGGCCGCCGCCGCCCGGGAATTGGAGGAATACCTTCACGACAATGTAGACCATATCGGGGAGAACGCCGACCCCATGTCGTATTGGCAAGGGAAGATGGGGGTTTGGCCGGCCCTCTTCAAGGTCGCCGCGTTCCATTTCGGGTGCCCGCCCACCTCGGCGTCCTCCGAGGACCTCTCCATCGTGGCTAGTTCGTTGGCAGTGGGAGATCCATCGAAGAACCTCTCCCCGGCCAACGTAAAAATGTTTGCATTCATACGGAAGAATCGCCACCTCATCCCTCAAGACTGGAGGCTCTCCCTTGGGGACCTGTCCTCATCCCAGAGTGCGATGGGACCAAGGGAGGACTTGGACACCGAAGAGGAGGAGGATCTCCTGAGAGCTGATGAGGAAGCAGAAGATGAGCGGGAGCCGTAACTTCCCCTGGATGAAAGACAGCTGACTTGAACGTAGGAGCTGAATCCAGTGGACAATTTCAGCTAGAGTTAACCCATGGCATCTGTGGGCTTTACATAAGTGTGGGCTCCCCTTCTGCAATTGATTCCATTGGTCTTCTCTAGCTATAAACAGTAAATTGGATTTGGACTGCATCTTTTTCATGTATGTGGGGCTCCTATTTTGTCTAGCAGTTGTGGGGGCTGAAATTATCTCCCGCACCTTATCATATTCTCAGATCGAGAAAGTGGAAAGGCACTTTATGGATTTTTTACTGTTGGGGAGGAGAGAATACAGTAGGACTCCGTATCCGCAGGATCGGTATCCACGGTTTCACTTATCTGAAAATATTTAAAAAGAGAAATATGTATGCCCATGATGGAACTACTAGAATTGGCCACTAGATGGAACCAGAGATCATGTTATTTATAGGGTTCACTATTATCCACAGTTTTCAGCATCTGTGGGGGGAGGGGGTCAGAACCAATGCCCCATGGATACAGGAATCCTATACATTTGTCACCATAGCTGTGACTTTTCTCTCTTGTACTCTCCGCTTAAAAAGATGTTTTTGCCAACAAATTAATGCTGCTTCTTCAAGCCCTGTGCCATGTCATTGTGTAGTACCTGTGCTAAAGGAAGTTATATCACAAGATAACATCCTTTCCACGTGCATTTTAGGAAGCAAAGCATGGTTCCTCCAGAACGTCAGCAATAGCCATCTTTGTTTCTTCTCTTCTAACAAGGCACTTAGAGGGATATTATTTTGTGACGTAGTGCCTTTCAGCAGAGGGGGGAATTATCCTGGTTTGGAGAAGAAATACACTAACTAATTTCCCATGGTCTAAGAACTATAGCATAGTGGTCACGGAGAAGCCTTAGCTGTCAGTTATGGCTCTCATCTCTCCAATATTTATAGGAACTGTCACAACCCACTGTTTCATCATTGGGGTGTTCTTTCTCCCCACCATCATCGATGCTGCCCCCAAAAAGTTCTTTTAGATCTTCAAGCACAGCACTTTTGATTATGTGTATTCAAATTGAGGAAACAGTTGCTATTTACAATAATGTTGGGCTGTCAGGCTCAGCTGAAAGGATATATTCCTTTAGGGTGTTGTAAGGTGGACGTTTCTCCACCTTGGTTCCTTCAGATATTTGAGGACTTCCAATTTCCACATGCCCCAGCCTGCATGGCCAGGGTTCAGAGACTCTGAGAGATTGAAGCTCAAAATATCTGGAAGGTTAGAAGTTGAGAAACCCCTCCCTTGTAACTTAATTATAGTCCTAATTGGCCAAGGTGGCCATGAGCTACCAGAGATCATACTCGCCGACCGGAAGCTGTGCAGAATCCAATTACATCTCAGATTAGAGATGTTGGAAATGATTAATGGTTATCTGTGTCCTGGCTTAATTTTCTGTTGGTGCTCTTAACTGTCTTTCCTGGATGGAGGTCTGAATTTGATGTAATCCTCTTGCACTCTTGTCATTTCTCCTTTTCTGTATTTCGGCTCTTTTGCTTACCAATCTTAACCACACATCTTTCTGTCGATACCACTTTGACATCAGCCAGCAGAAGAGGCTTAGCCTTAATCCTACCTACCTCTTGCTGTTAGGCTTGGCCCATATCCACTAAGTCTAAATCAGACTATCAGACAGGAATTCGATTCCAGAGAGCAATGGATCTCATCAACAGGAACCACAAGGAAGCCAAACGTCAAGATAATGAATTCCCATGAAAAAGTGGATCTAACAGACATGCAACAACATTATAGAAATCAAACACTGTAGATGCAATTTGAAATGCCTTTGAAATACATAGAAGTTGAAAATGCTCACGTGTAGCAGATAGCAATTGTGTTCCCAAGATAAATTAGTTAGCAACATTATAGAAATCAAATAGATGCAATTTGAATTACCTTTGAAATACATAAAAGTTGAAAATGCTCACGTGTAGCAGACAGCAATTGTGTTCCCAAGATAAATTAGTTATTTGTAATGTTCTAATAATATTTACCATATTTTTCCCCCAATAAATTTATGGGGGGGAGGGAAACACTCTGCCTCTTAGCCACGCTTCTCCTGTGTCTGTTTCTCCTATTTGCATCTGTTAAAAATTGACTGAGGAAAAACAGGAAATATCACCCTACTGCCAATCAAAGCGAGCTGAATTGGTGGAACAGATGAAGTAGAAAAGCCTACCAGTGCCTTTTCTGATCCCCAGTAGTAAAAGATTAAATAAAACACTGCAATGTCAATTCAATCATTAACCTCCATAACACTGAAAATCTGCAGGCAAGGGAGTTACCACAGCCTGCCTAATGAGCGGGCTGGCCCTCCTGGTAGGCAGTGTTTGATGTGGTAGGTCATATTGGTGAGCAGAGTGGCGCAGCGGAAGCGTGCTGGGCCCATAACCCAGAGGTCGATGGATCGAAACCATCCTCTGCTAACTCATCTTTTTTTTTTTTTATTTCCTCACGATATCGCAGCTTTTGTTTCTTCATTAATTCATGCTTCTGCATGTGTACCTACAGGGCAAAATGTAATTCATATGGAATCTTAAAAATGGCCCGTAAAATCATTCTAAAAATTCACCAGTCCAGTTGAAAAGATACACGGAATACCCTCCCTGAGTAGACTTTGTCTAGGTGGGGCAGGATAGAAATCTAATAAATAATAAAATAAATATTTTGGGAGGCTTTTCAGATGATTTGCAATGTAGCCCAGTTTAACTTGTTCTGAACTGAAGCCAAAAGAATCTACATACTGTGTGTATAGCCTTATCTTTTATTCCCCTCTTCTACTATAGATTCCCACCATCAACATCATCTTGTTTTGTTTTTATTATTATTATTACTATTGGTGCTAATAGAAAAGTTTGAAGTTTCTGAATAAAAAAAATAATGCTTGCCATTTTCTGGGCTGTAGCCTGATGTTAACTGGATATTTCAGAAACTTTTCTAGCATGTTTTCGAACTGCTGTTCTGAGCTGCTGTCTGTAACGTCCAAATAAAACATGTTCAATAAAGTATTTCCAATAATAAGCATCAGTGTGGTGTGACAGATAAGAGTGTCGGACTGGGATTCAGGAGACCCGAGTTCAAATTCCTGCTCAACCGTGGAAGCTCACTAGGAGGGTCGTCATCATCAACTATTGGTCAAGCTTTTGGCGCACTTTGGAAACTGTTAGGAAGTTGGAAGTCAACCTGAGTTCAAATTCCTACTCAACCATGGAAGCTCACTAGGAGGGTCGCCATCATCAACTATTGGTCAAGCTTTTGACGTACTTTGGAAACTGTTAGGAAGTTGGAAGTCACTTGATGGAAGGTAATGAGAACAGTACAGTGGGGTCTTGACTTAAGAACGGCTTGAGTTAAGAACATTTTGACTTAAGAACCACTGTGATGGAAGGTAATGAGAACAGTACGCAAGAGACACATGAAGGAGGAATAGGTTTATGCAGCTTTCCACCTTGCATAAATTGAGTTGTGCTTTAGACATAGGAAAAATATGAATTAATATTTATTCCTGTTTAAACGATTGCATTTTAAAAAATATACCATATGCATGCATGGACATACACAAAGACATATGCACCAAGATGATATATTACAGAATCATAGAGTTGCAAGGGGCTTATAAGGCCATTGAGTCCACACACCCCTGGCGGCTCAGTACAGAAATAAAATCAAAGCAGATCTGACAGATGGGTATGAAAGTGCAATTGTTTTCAATAGGTCGATCAATCTTGTCTATCTACCTCTGTACCATAATTTTGCATTAGGAAACTCCTGCATCCCATTTGATTTACCTCTGGGTGCTGTCAATGGTAGAAGTACCACTGGCTGAGAGCCACTATAGTCTCCAAAGAGGTTCTTCCATAATAAAATCCGTGGATCTTGAATGTGCCACAGGAACTTCTGCTTCTCTCTGTGTTAACTGATTAACTGCTTCCCCCACCTGGAAACTTGAAAGAGCAGGCAACTTTTCAGTCCTTTGTGCAGGGTTGTGCTTTAGACATAGGAAAAATATTAATTTTTATTCCTGTTTAAACTATTATATTTTAAAAAATATACCATATGCATGCATGGACATACACAAAGACATATGCACCAAGATGATATATTACAGAATCATAGAATAACTGAGTTGCAAGGGGCCTATAAGGCCATTGAGTCCACACACCCTTGGCGGCTCAGTACAGAAATCAAATCAAAGCAGATCTGACAGATGGGTATGAAAGTGCAATTGTTTTCAATAGGTCGATCAATCTTGTCTATCTACCTCTGTACCATAATTTTGCATTAGGAAACTCCTGCATCCCATTTGATTTACCTCTGGGTGCTGTCAATGGTAGAAGTACCACTGGCTGAGAGCCACTATAGTCTCCAAAGAGGTTCTTCCATAATAAAATCCGTGGATCTTGAATGTGCCACAGGAACTTCTGCTTCTCTCTGTGTTAACTATTGCAGATTAACTGCTTCTCCCACCCGGAAACTTGAAAGAGCGGGCAGCTTTTCAGCCCTTTGTGCATGCAGCTGTACATATCAGTATAACGGAAAAAGTTACAGAACGGCTCCATTCCGTTCTGCCCTCTGCTGCACTTGCTCAGTGCCCTTTGCTTTTCTCAGAGGATCCTCTGGATTTTGAGCTCTACGAAGAGAAAGTAAGTGCAGTAGATAGCAAAGCAGGAAATCGATTAACTGCTTCCCCCACCTGGAAACTTGAAAGAGCAGGCAACTTTTCAGTCCTTTGTGCAGCCGTACATACTGTATCAGTATAACTGAAAAGATCACAGAACGGCTTCATTCCGTTCTGCCCTCTGCTGCGCTTGCTCAGCGCCCTTTGCTTTTCCCAGAGGATCCTCTGGAATTTGAGCTCTACAAAGAGAAAATAAGTGCAGTAGATAGCAAAGCAGGAAATCTGGCTGCGGATCGAGAGATCGATTCCCCACTGTGCCTCCTGCGAAAAGAACCAGCCTGGGTGGCCTTGGGCAAGCTACACAGTCCCAGGGCGCCCCCAGTGGAAGGGAATGGTAAAGCACCTCTGAGTTTACAAGAGCCAGCGAACAGGGAGTTCGATTCCCCTCCACTGAGCTTCCTGTGAGCAGAGCCAGCCTGGGTGGCCTTGGGCAAGCTGCACAGTCCCAGGGCGCCCCCAGTGGAAGGGAATGGTAAAGCACCTCTGAGTTTACAGTACCTAGAAAATCCTGGGAAAGTTCCCATAAGACGACTGCACATGATGATGATTAGTATAACATGAGCAACCCAGTCTCTTTACTAAAGGGCTAAGAAGAACAGTGCCTAAGCAAAACTTCAGGGAAGGGAACTGGCAGGGACATGGGACATCTTTATCATTAATTGCAAATTGTCAGAGGAGAAAATGTATGGTGCCATCAGAAACAATACGCTTTACAGCTGCAGTAGTTCAAACACAAGGATAATAAGTTTTCTAAGAGCATCAGTGAAGTGGGAATAATTTTATTGTTGGGACTAGAACAGACACAGTGATCCATCTCTCTATCTTCTGTCTGGTGAGACGGATTTGTCCAAGAAAGCTCACATTGAAAAAAGAACCCAAGTCTTTAAGGTGCCACCACGTTTTTCTTTTTGTTGTTGTGGTTTTCTCTCTCTTTTTTTAACCCATAGTTTCTTGTTACTTTTATCCCCACGGCAATTCTTTTTGAATGCCAGGAGGTTGAAATTGGATATGCAAGAGATTGCTTGACGTTCCAGCTACTGGGTTTGGGTGGCATCAGATCTTCAAGGAGGTCTGTTTTTAGGGGCTGTGATATTGTATGTATCACACCCTTGAAGCATTTTTCAGGTACAACTTTCAGACAGTTGTTCAAAACAGGAAAAAGTAGAGGCTGGGGGATACAGCACAGCCACTTCTGCGTTTCCATCTTCCTCGGTATGAAACTGGCAAATACTGAATCAGCTCCGGAGATTTGGCTCACTTCCATTGTCCTTAGTATAGGTAAGCTAAGAGGCCAAGCATAACTCTGAGAATAAGTCTTACATCAACCGTAAGCTAAGAGGCCAGGCATAACTCTGAGAATAAGTCTTACATCAACTGCTACGCGGAGACAAAATGCGTTATGTTTATAATTAATTCCCTGTATCTGTTCAACTGGACTGGTGAATTTTTAGAATGATTTTACGGGCCATTTTTAAGATTCCATATGAATGGTTTTCCCCTGTAGGTACACATGCAGAAGCATGAATTAATGAAGAAACAAAAGCCGGGATAGAGTGAGAAAACCCAAAAAGAAAATGAATTAGCAGAGGATGGTTTCGATCCATCGACCTCTGGGTTATGGGCCCAGCACGCTTCCGCTGCGCCACTCTGCTCGCTGAGCACAATGGCCTATAATTAGGTATTAAAGGATGCTGACTGCTATTGTTTCACAAATGGGAGCACATCTTGACGGTAACAGTGATCTATAATTAGGCATTAAAGGATGCTGACTGCTATTGTTTCACAAATGGGAGCACATCTTGACACATACAGCTGTACAGTACTTTTCTGTCGGACAGGAACGCTTTTAAAATGTCCCGACAGCCAGGAGCAGCCTTTATCCAATACAATTAAACACAGAATCAAGAGGGATGAGAAAGCATTTTCTTTCAAACTGAGAACCTTCTAAGCACACTACATATAAACACACCATATAGGCAAAAATAAACATATACACCAGTTTCGTTTAGTCGTGTCCGACTCTTCGTGAATCAAGAGGGATGAGAAAGCATTTTCTTTCAAACTGAGAACCTTATAAACACACTACATATAAACACCATACAGTATAGGCAAAAATAAACATATACACCAGATTTTAATACAAATCTAGCATTTTTATATTGCAAAGAAAAATCTTGGGTTGTCCAAATAAAACCCTGTAGCTTAAGTTATTTGGCAGGTTAAAAAAAATAATTACATACGGGGGGAAAAAAAGCAAACCAGCTCTTTTTCTGATGTTGTGGGTGGCCCTTAAAAGGACCTTTTGCTTTTTTAAAGTTTTCAATCTCCAATTTCCCTTAGCCGCCGAAACCGTACAAAGTACGGCCCTGGCGTTTCAGAGCGTAGACCACATCCATGGCGGTGACGGTCTTCCTTTTCGCGTGCTCGGTGTAAGTCACAGCATCGCGGATGACATTTTCAAGAAACACCTTCAGGACGCCTCGGGTTTCCTCGTAAATGAGGCCCGAGATACGCTTCACGCCTCCGCGGCGAGCCAGGCGGCGAATGGCAGGCTTGGTGATCCCCTGGATGTTGTCGCGCAACACCTTCCGGTGCCTTTTGGCGCCTCCTTTCCCTAGACCTTTGCCTCCCTTTCCACGACCAGACATGATTCCACTAAGAGATACAACACCAAATGTGGCTGAGAAACGTCTGCTGCCGGCTTCTTATATAGAAAGCAATCCGACCAGAAGGAAAACTAGCAGGAGTAGCTGCCTCGCGGTCTTTTGTCAGCGCATTCTGGCGGGCTGGTTTGCTCCGTCCAATCAAAGGTAGACAAGCATTTTCAAATAGACCAATCAGAAGACCCTTCGTTCGTTCGAACTGAAACGATCCTTGGCGCTCCCATAACTGTCCCTGAAAAACTTTTTTCTTTTCTTTTCTTTAAGGAAAAGGATTTATGTGGCGTCAATTATCTTGTTTTCGTTGTTATTTTTCCTGCTGCTGAATAGCTTAAAGCGGCTTAGATTTTGCAGAAGTTAAAATATGTACGTTGTCTCAATTTAGCAATGTCCAATAGTAACAGATGACAAAACGGTGGTTCCTTGAAGGCCAGTGAATAATTTGATGTCTTTAACTTTTTAACTTTATTTAGACTTATACCCCGCCCCTCTAGACAAAGTCTACTCGGGGCGGCTTACAAAATATATATGTCATATATAAACCAAACTTTTCTACCTGTGACGGACTGCACTGCAGGGTAAAGTTAGGTAAATTGTCGTTGCTGTGTAATAAAAATAAAAACCCAAGAATTATTCCTCTTTAAAAAGCTAACAGATTTTAATTGATGACTGTGCTTCCTAAGACACGCCTTCCCCCCCCCCAAAAAATAAGCAGAAATGAATCTGTTTAGTCTTCAAGGTGTCACAACTCTTATTATTTTTGTTATATATGCTGAAAGAGACCAAGAAGGCGAGCTCTCTGAAACATATTCATTGCCACCTCTTGTTTATTATTCCTCTTTAGGGCTGCCATCGAAAATCTATAGTTCTTCAATACATTTTTGAGGAGCCACTGAAGGTCTATGGAAATTAGCAGTTTCGACTTCTCCAGAATATGATGGCCATTTTGAAAGAGATAGCCCTGTTAGCCTGTTGCAACATATCTAAGAGGATTTCAGCCACTGCTCCCTCCCCACTCACTCCCCCATTACTGTATACATATGTGCAGTATTTGAGGGAGCAGATCATGATCAGTGAGAGCTCACACTGGAAATAAAACCAATACTGTAGTCTTAAAAGTGCCATAATATTTTAGTTTTTTGTTTTGTTCTGTTTTTGTAAAACAGAACAAAACAAAAAACTAAAATATGGCTTTGTTCTGTTTTGCAAAAACAGAACAAAACAAAAAACTAAAATATTATGGCACTTTTAAGACTACAGTATTGGTTTTATTTCCAGTGTGAGCTCTCACTGATCAGATGAACACAGCAAATGGCACATAAAGTCTGTGCCATTTGCTGTGACTAGTTTGTCAGGAGCCAGGGGGGAGAAGCAGTGGCTGAAATCTTAGTGTTCACATAAAGTCTGTGTCATTTGCTGTGACTAGTTTGTCAGGAGCCAGTGTGCAATTAACAAAGGTAAGTTAAGCAAACGGTATGCAAATTCCCAGAGGCCTTTGGTCAACATTTTGGTGGGGATCTGTAAGTTGAATCATGGCAACTGGACTTCTTCCGGTAAGTTAAGCAAAAGGTATGCAAACTCCCAGAGGCATTTGGTCAACATTTTGGTGGGGATCTGGAAGTTGAATCATGGCAACTGGACTTCTTCCCTGTTAGGTTGAAACATTTCACTACTCATCCAAGTAGTTTCTTCAGTCTGAGGAGAGTTGGTCGGAGGTCCCTTATAGAGCCTCCATTTTGATTTCGCTTCCCCTTGGTCTGAATAGGCTCCTTAGATGGACAAAGGAATGGGGGTGAGTGGAAATCTCACTTCTGCAGTCGTTCTCCACCCATTGTAAAGGGTCGTTAACAGTAATCAACAGTGCTATTTCTGGTGGGTGTGGTCCTGATCTTTCTGGGGAAGGGTGAAAGGGCAGCATGATAGATAGGAGACAGATTTTATCTAAGGCCTCCACCCCTGTGGAGGGAGGGATTTTCTATATGCACATATATGGCCTCCCTGACCCCTCTCTAAAACCACCTATCTTCTCAGTTCAAAATGAGCACATCTTGGTCATCAAATGAGTGTCCTTCAAATGAAGGAACACTGCTGATTGTGGTCCTCAGCAGTTGCCCGTCCTGTGCTTGTCCATTCTCCTGTTTAATGGCCTTTTGGTTTCTCCAATGTAGAGCGCTGAACACTCCTCTTCACAGAGAATTTTCACAGGAGTTTACAAAAGGCGGAAAATAAGCATAGTTTCTTCATTAGAGAAGTTGTATGCTTACTTAGTACTTTGTATCGGTCACACATATGAAATGAATACAACATATTAAGAGAGCCATTCCCCTTAGAGTCCACTTGCTTTTGTCTCCCAAAAAGTGATCATTGTGAGGGGAAGGATTTCTATGACATGTCACACTTTCTCTGCAACCTGTACTTGAACCCACAAGCAAGTTAAATATGTCTGAGTCATCGGGCCTTTCTCACCAGTTCAAACATAGGCTGCATAAAAAAAAATATAACATGTTATAGAAGTTCTCCCCACTCCCAGATCACCAACTGGATCTAAACCAGCACCCAGACTTCACACCAGTTACAGGCACAACAGACCTAAGAAACTCTGTCCAGGACAAACTATCCCATGAGGTTGTACTGCTACCATCTCATTCTTCAATTAAGGATAAAGGGAAGTCTGAGCTTTACAAACTTCTTTGAGTCGCTCTAGAGAAATCAGACCTGAAAGCAGAAAGCATTTTACCCAGAGGGCCTTAAGCAAACACTGAAAAACTTATAGCACATCCCATGATTACGGTAGGTGGTATTTAATACCAACTTTTTCAAAGCAGACACAATGACTCACACAGCTGGGGAATTATTTCAATATTTTATTGAGATAAAAAATGCTAGTTATACAGAATCACAGCAAGCCAGTTAGGAATACTGTTTGAGAACAAAGGAGACAAAATAAGAACACAGTCAAGCCAAGGCTACGCACTCACACCAGTATAAAGACCTGTAGACAAGCAATACACTCCAGGGCATATATGAAGCGCAAACTCTCAGCCAACAGGTTATGTCAATAGCTTGGTTTTGATTGCAATACAGAGGGGTGACTGCAGGTGCGCTTCCCAGGAGAAAATCTTACAGACTGTTAGGTACCAAGATGATTTAATGAATGCTTCTGAGCTAGGTCGCCAAACTGAGATAATAACAGCCCAGTCCTGTAGATGTTCACAGTGTTCCGAATAAAAACACTGGACTGTAATGGGAGGTCTCGGTTCTTACAATCTCTGTGACCTGAAAGTCACTAGAGGACATCGGGCCAGCCACTCTTCCTCAGGCTGGCCTTCTTCACAGGATTGCTTTGAAGACAAGAGAGAAGCAAAACGTGTTGCTTTGAATCCACTTTAGCAAAATCTGGATATAGCTGTAAGTAATCTCTACAATGTTTGCGCTTCTGTTCCATTTTTGGTCCCTCATAGTACCATCCTCCACAATCCACTTAAAGCTGAAACTTGATATTTATACTGAACAAAGGCTTTGCATCACCTTACTCACCCGAATGTCCTTATCTGTGCTTACAATGTCCTTGTCATTTCCCAAAAATGGTTTGATGAACAATCTTGTTTTGTTGTTTTTAGCAAGGGATTAACATGGCTACTCCAGACCTCCAAATCTACTTTTAAAACCTAATAAATGCAGCGTTGCATATGTCTGTTTCTTCATAACTGAAGCCCATTACTAAATACAGTAGTACCAACTGTATTATGTTATCCAGAAGGGTGTAATGGATAATGTAACCTCCTAGGACTTAGGAGGCCTGGGTTCAAATGTCACTTACTTTGAAGCTTGTTGGCACATATGAAGAACAGCAACCAACTACATTAAGGCATATGATCCTTCATATAAAGAGAGGGGTTTTGTAAAGGAAAACCAAAACCAACTGCCTAAACTTTAGCATACAAGAATATAGAAACGAGAGAGAGAAGAAAAACAAAGGCAACATATTACTGTATGGCTTTTCGGATACTAATCAACATATTTCAGCGTGGGCAGAAGTGAATGTTGATCTAAATATAAAGAATCCTGCTAATCTATGAAGAGCCACCATGGTTTGCCTTCTGCCTCCCCACCTATTAATTTTATTTGTTATTTGTGTATTTGATTTAAAATATTTTACCCCAACCTTTTGCCATAAAAAGCGGATTGCGTCACTAAAAGGAATATTGTAGATAAAAACAATGAGTTATTTAAATATTTAAAAAGAATTAAATACACATTTTAAAAAATTAATTCAAAAGCATTACTAAAATAGAAAAAAGTGAATGGTGCTACAGCTGGGGGGTGGGCTGCAATGTTTGCTAGCAGGCTGGAAGAGAAAAGTACGGAGGAAACGGTGGCTCTTCACATGTTACTGGACTGCAACTTCTATATCTGTTGGAGAGGCTGCTTAGAGCTTCCAGTAATGCAGTCAAGTAATACTGGGTGGGCCTCAAAGCTGTCCCAACCTTAGTAGGTAAGTCCTGCCAGTTGTGCCTTGCACAACCCCCATAATAAGGAGGCAATGAAAACCAGAAATTCTCTGGTTGTAGGCTAGTAAGTACATTGGAAGGCTAACACAAACACCAGATTTATTCAAGATTAGGCATATGACATACAATGAAACCAGTTTATTTTTGGTGACATACACACACTTGTGCATATGAAGTTACTGTAGGCAGAAAATTCAAGAAGCCCAAGATTTCTGTTTTTATAGAATATTTGGAGAGCTACTGGTAAATTAGTACAATCTTCATATATTCTTCTGCCAAGGTGATTTAGTTTTTGTGTTAACTCCTTTGGCTGGCTCACTTCTTGCCAGCCTTCAACACGCTAGTTTTGAATTTCCCCATAAATCTTCAAAGTAGGAAGGACAAACTGGGCAGGGGGAAGAAGCAGTGAGTTTTAAAAATTAGATCAGGTGTTAAACCTGTGTTCTGCACTAATTTTAGAACCAAGCTAGAGAAGAATGACTGGCAGAGGAGAATCTAAGATGACATGTTAAGATGGAACCGAAACCTTGAGCTCTTATTCTAGAGACAAGGCTGACACAACTCAAACATGGTGCTTCTTACAGTGGAAAAAACACAGGTTCTAAGGAAGTACAGAAACATCAGTCTTTAGTAAGCAAAGCAAAGATTCCACATTGTAAAGGTGCATTCGAATAGTAAAGCCAGGATTTTCCAGAAACAGGTTTTATGAGAAAGAATTATTCCACAATTACAAAGAGCAGCAAATTTCCAAAGGGAATAATTTAAGCTTTTTTAATCATGTTTGCTTACCCAAAGGGAAAATTGTTTAGCCAATTGTTTAAACTGATTCTGTAAGTGAAAAAGTTAGCTTCTGGACTTTGTAAAGTAGAGAGGTGAAATCTAAGCATGAAATCGGTGTTGTGCAACAGAGAGGCTGTATTTTTGCAAGGGATTTCTTCTCTTTCCTTGAGCAAGTGGGTGGCTCTTAAAAGAGCCTTTGGGTCTGTTTGTAAGGGTGGTGGGTCTACTTGGAGCTGGGGTACTTGGTGACGGCCTTGGTGCCCTCGGAGACGGCGTGCTTGGCCAGCTCTCCGGGCAGGAGGAGCCTGACGGCGGTCTGGATCTCCCGGGAGGTGATGGTGGAGCGCTTGTTGTAATGGGCGAGGCGGGAGGCCTCGGCGGCGATGCGCTCGAAAATGTCGTTGACGAAGGAGTTCATGATGCTCATGGCCTTGGAGGAGATGCCGGTGTCCGGGTGGACCTGCTTGAGGACCTTGTAGACATAGATGGAGTAGCTCTCCTTGCGGCTCTTCTTGCGCTTCTTGTCGCCTTTCTTCTGCGTCTTGGTGATGGCCTTCTTGGAGCCCTTCTTGGGCACCGGCGCGGATTTGGCTGGCTCAGGCATCGTGCTCTGCAACGATCAAGGTGCAACCCACAAAACCTTCTCCGATTGGGGATAAGGTATTCAGCCTCTCCCGGCCCTTGTATTTATGCCGCTCCTATGCAAAGAAGCACGCGACGGTTCCGCTTTCCTATTGGCTGCCCCGACGGAGCAGCTTAAAACAAAGAAAGGGGTTCTGAGAGAGCCACCCAACCAACACAATGGATGACGTCAGTCTCTTCGGTTATTATTGGGCAGCCGGAGAATCCGCGTTGTCATTGGCCGCCACGGCCCTTTTCGCCCTTCAGCCAATCAAAACTGCAGTCCTGGATCTCAGAGAGGAAATAAAAGGGCCAGGCGTGGTTTGCTTTCGAGGTATTTCAGCTTTGGCTCTTTTGCAGGAAGGTTCGTTTGCTGTTAGTGGCTTGCAAGGAGGATGTCTGGACGCGGAAAGCAAGGGGGCAAAGCCAGGGCGAAGGCCAAGACGCGCTCCTCCCGGGCCGGCCTGCAGTTCCCGGTGGGTCGTGTCCACCGCCTGCTAAGGAAGGGCAACTACGCCGAGCGGGTGGGCGCCGGGGCCCCCGTCTACCTGGCCGCCGTCCTCGAGTACCTGACGGCCGAGATCCTCGAGCTGGCCGGCAACGCCGCCCGGGACAACAAGAAGACCCGCATCATCCCCCGGCACCTCCAGCTCGCCATCCGCAACGACGAGGAGCTCAACAAGCTGCTGGGGAAAGTCACCATCGCCCAGGGAGGCGTCCTGCCCAACATCCAGGCCGTCTTGCTGCCCAAGAAGACCGAGAGCCACAAGGCGAAGACTAAGTAGATTGCTCTCTTGAGGAACTTGAGGAAAAAAATTGCAAGAAATTTTAAGAACCCAAAGGCTCTTTTAAGAGCCACCTACAGTTTCAGAAAAGAGCTGGCTGGCTTGGCTCGGTTTTGTTTCTTAATTTCTGACAAGTATCTAAATTTCCACCCCGAGATCCCTGAGACTTGAATTTTCTCTTTTTTTCGCTTTTGCAATCGCGTTTCTGGATTAAAAAAACAGGCGCAACAAATGTAAAAGCGATCAGGACTGAAGTCCTAGCTACAAAAAATTTGGGGAGGCAATGTAAGGTTTATATATTGGGCTACCCTAGACTTTTGGGAAGTAAAATCTTTTGTGTTGAAAGGGGCCCTCGTGGTAGGTTTTGGGTTGCTATCAATTTATAAATGAATTACATTTGCCATCCTTCTTTAACTGGAGTTGTGAGACTATAGGAAGATTCTGTGCAGAGCCCTCGTTAAAAAGCTCGGATACACATTGTTTAGAATCGCTTCCCTTCTCCAATTTGATACATAGTGAGTGTATCACACTGTAGCCCCCCCATAGGGCAACAACGTAACGACCAGTGCAGCAATACACACCAGTATTGCAACCGTAATGATCGCAAGCAGAGCCGGCAACAATGTGGCTGCGCTTTGTTCTGTAGCCGAGACTAGTGCACGACAGTGGTACAAAATGAATTGTATATGTAGTGAAGTCGTGAGTAAGCGCCTTGCTTTCTTCGTGCCGAAATAGCTCAGTTGGGAGAGCGTTAGACTGAAGATCTAAAGGTCCCTGGTTCGATCCCGGGTTTCGGCAGCTTTTCTTGCTGCGGCTAAATTATGCTCAGTGCACTCAGTTTTTATTTCTCAGTCTTGAAGTCACAATCCTCTTCCACACACATATATTCCACCTATATCTTCTCTAATTTCCATTCATTCCAAGTAGCCTGCTTTAATCGTGACTTGCTGTAATAAGTGGAAGCTAGATTAGCCCCACTTGAATCGGTGGATTTTGTGACAGCTTTGAGACGAGAACATTTATTATATCATGGATTACAATCCATTTCCTTAGATGCAAACAAGCTTCCCTCCCCAGCTACTTTTTAAGGATGTCATCCTTACTTGTGCCAAAGATTCAATTTGTAACCAAGTTGAATCTAATCATATTGAAATTCTACCTGCCACATATGATGTGCCCAGGCTAATTTAGAGGGAGCACACACAATGAAAGATCATTTCGAGACAGGTTCAGTCTGAGATGCTTCGATATCTTAAAAAAGGAAGATGCAACTCAGTTAGCCCCAGCCTGTTTTTTACTCCTTATGATAGTCTGTTGTCATATAAATGTTGAACCGTAGAGTCAGAATGCACCCAAAGGTCATCTAGTCCACTGGTTCTTAACCTTAGATTAGCCCCACTTGAATCTGTGGATTTTGTGACAGCTTTGAGATGAGTACATTTATTATATCATGGATTACAATCCATTTCCTTAGATGCAAACCCAGCTTCCCTCCCCAGCCACTTTTTAAGGATGTCATCCTTACTTGTGCCAGAGATTCAATTTGTAACCAAGTTGAATCTAATCATATTGAAATTCTACCTGCCACATATGATGTGCCCAGGCTAATTTAGAGGGAGCACACACAATGAAAGATCATTTCGAGCCAGGTTCAGTCTGAGATGCTTTGATATCTTAAAATAGGAAGATGCAACTCAGTTAGCCCCAGCCTGTTCTTTACTCCTTATGATAGTCCTTATAAATGTTGAACCGTAGAGTCAGAAAGCACCCAAATGTCATCTAGTCCATCCTGCTGTTAATGTAGAAAATCCGCAGCTAACACATTTTTGAAAAATGCCCACTCAGCTTCTGTTTAGGCACCTCCCTCAAAGAGGAGTCCATTTACTCCCAAGTTAGCCCATTACACTATCAAAGAGCTCTGTTAGAGAAATTCAATCACATTGTTTCTTGTCTCTGTAAAGGTTCTCGGTCATCCAGGTAAGGTTATCTCGAAGCTGAGTCATGGCCACTGGCCTTCTTTCTTTTTAGGTTAGAACATTTCACTACTCATAGTGAAACATTTCAACCGAATAATAAAGAAGTCCAGTGGCCATGACTCAGCTTCGAGATTTTTTTTTCTTGTTGTTTTAATCCATGGATCTGGAATTGTAGCTCTGCTTCCTCCACCTTCCACACCATGCCACGAACCTGCGAAGGTCTGAAGTCCAATGGCTGATGTATCACCCATCAATTGTACAGTACCTTCTCGAGCTAAATATATGGAATAGCATCAATTGTTCCCCATAGGCTAGGTTTACAGACCCCTTACTGTCTTAGTCCCCTTCCGTTGGATGTGTTTCTACTTTTCAGTAGAGATGATGTTCAGAACTGGACGCAGGACTCCTAAAATTAAATTCAGTTGACTCCAATGGCTGATGTATCACCCATCAATTGTACAGTACCTTCTCGAGCTAAATATATGGAATAGCATCAATTGTTCCCCATAGGCTAGGTTTACAGACCCCTTACTGTCTTAGTCCCCTTCCGTTGGATGTGTTTCTACTTTTCAGTAGAGATGATGTTCAGAACTGGACGCAGGACTCCTAAAATTAAATTCAGTTGACTGTGCATAATGAGATTTTTTTTTCTTGTTGTTTTAATCCATGGATCTGGAATTGTAGCTCTGCTTCCTCCACCTTCCACACCATGCCACGAACCTGCGAAGGTCTGAAGTCCAATGGCTGATGTATCACCCATCAATTGTACCTTCTCAAACTAAACATACACAATAGCATCAACTGTTCCTCATAGGCTAGGTTTCCAGACCCTTTACTGTCTTAGTCCCCTTCCTTTGGATGTGTTTCTATTTTTCAGTAGAAATGATGTTCAGAACTAGACACAGGACTCCTAAAATTAAATTCAGTTGACTGAAGTCCAATGGCTGATGTATCACCCATCAATTGTACCTTCTCAAACTAAACATACACAATAGCATCAACTGTTCCTCATAGGCTAGGTTTCCAGACCCTTTACTGTCTTAGTCCCCTTCCTTTGGATGTGTTTCTATTTTTCAGTAGAAATGATGTTCAGAACTAGACACAGGACTCCTAAAATTAAATTCAGTTGACTTGACATAATTAGAAGTGTGTGTGTGTGGTAGTGAGAATAAATCTATGCAATAATGGCACCCTATGGCTTTCAGCCTTTTTATTCTTATGATAATTTTAAACCCCCCTTTTGAGCCTGCCTGGGTTTTATAATGGCTTCTGTGGATGCATCTTCTCTCAATTATGCAACCTTTCCATACATGTAGGGAAGAGAGAGAGGCCCTTATCCGTGGTTACTTCCAACTTGTAGAACTTTCTTTCAGAAGAGGCAAGTTGCGTCTCCTTGCTGTTATTCTTCCACTGGCAGGTAAAGACTTTTATTCAAGAAGGTTGGTTAATTTTTAAAGCCCTTTATGATTTAGGATTATGCTGATTGTTAGAACGCCTCTCCCTCAGGTCATCCTCCCATCCCATAATTAGAAGTGTGTGTGTGTGGTAGTGAGAATAAATCTATGCAATAATGGCACCCTATGGCTTTCAGCCTTTTTATTCTTATGATAATTTTAAACCCCCCTTTTGAGCCTGCCTGGGTTTTATAATGGCTTCTGTGGATGCATCTTCTCTCAATTATGCAACCTTTCCATACATGTAGGGAAGAGAGAGAGGCCCTTATCCGTGGTTACCTCCAACTTGTAGAACTTTCTTTCAGAAGAGGCAAGTTGCGTCTCCTTGCTGTTATTCTTCCACTGGCAGGTAAAGACTTTTATTCAAGAAGGTTGGTTAATTTTTAAAGCCCTTTATGATTTAGGATTATGCTGATTGTTAGAACGCCTCTCCCTCAGGTCATCCTCCCATCCCACCTGCACACACCCCAACCCTTGATGTTGTGGCTTGTCACTCCAAAAGAGGCCCAGAAGTTATCAGGCAGAAACTGGGCCTTCTCCGTAGGGGCTGTGTCACTCTGGAACTCGCTTCCTGTGGAGGCATGATTGCCTTCACTCTTCAGAGACCTCGGAAGCAACTTAAAACTGGCTTTTTACCCAGACCTTTGCAAGTCTCACTCCTTTGTAATATTAATTTTGTAGCAACTTTAC